TGATATCCTCGGGTATTCGGCTGTGGGCCTGGCCAACCCGCATTCGGAAATCCGGGGGGTATCACAGAATTACAGTGAGCAATAGTTGAAGAGTGAAAGGAAGAAAGAGAAAGAAGGGAGCCTGTACCGATGTAGGCAATTTTACCCGACTACGCGCAACCGGCGGATTTATTTTAAATCCTAAAGGCAAGTTCTTATCTACTTTTCCCCTTTGAATTAATAACTTAATTGTTTAGTTTATTTTTATGCATAGAGCCCAGGTTAGGAGGTTAATAAATTATTAATTTTAGTTTATTAAATTAATGAAATTTTAATTATATAGGACGGTATATATTTATTTAAGATCCTATGAAATTAATAATGGCTGAAAATAATTAAATAAGGCTTTAGGGATTTTTCAAGAATTTTCTAGATTTTTCCAGGGCTTTTCTGCAATTTCCGGCGACCTTCCGGCGAGTTTTCCGGTCGCCGGCAGAGGGGGAGATGACCGGAGTGATCCGGTGTGTTGCGGCGTACTGCAGGTTGGTGTGCGCGCACATCCTGGCCCTTGGGAGTGTTAGATTGATCCGGTGCATCGCGGTCCATGTTAGCGCGATACACCCGGATCAATAACCGTTGGATTAGGTGTAAGATGATAGATGATCCGGTGTGGCGCGCATGTAGGAAAGATGATGCAGCCAACCAACCGGAGGACGCCACGTCTGCAGGAGCCTTCAACGCGCGCGTGGAAGCGCGTGCGCGCGCGTGGCTGATGCCAGACGCGCGTGGAGGCGCGTGTGCGCGAGTGAGAGAGTGGAAAACATAGGGCTGCGCGTGGGGAAGCTTAGGGCGGCGCGTGGGGGCGCGTGAAGGGCCCTGTCAGCTGCTGGAAATTACCATAATACCCCTAGGGCCTGTTTTGTAAATTCCAAAACCTTAAACGTGGATTTTTAAGTACTGTGTTGGTATTTACGGGTTTAACGGGCCACGAAATTTTTATTTTAATACCCGGTAATTATTCTTATGGCCGATTAATCTTTTCTAAGCATTTATTGGCTCGTTTACAGTACGGATATTAATGTGATTTATTTAATGACATTGTTAAATATAAATAGTGTTATTATCTTATTAAATGGTATCAAACATTACTGTTAAATTAAATAATGCTATGGTTTTAGTTATATAAATTATCCATGATATCTTATGGGATGTTTATACTGTTAAATGATATATAACCCATGATTATTATGCTCTGTGCATTTCAGGAAATAAATGGACTGTTTAATTATGTCACATTTATATTATATGGATGTGTTGCCATATAGAACCATGTGAGCTGGCTAATAAGTTTAGACTCATTTATACATTATGTATTCGTTGCTATAGACAGATGTGTGGCTGTCGGGGTATGTGGTTTAATATTATTGGCATGTGTTGCCTAATTGGCATGCTCAGTATGTGTAGTAATATTATTGGCATGTGTTGCCTAATTTATATGCTCAGTATATATATCAGTACTTTGAGAGGTGTTATCACTGTGTTGTTCGTTATAGTCTGTGTTGTCAGTACCATGCACCATGTATAATAGCTGATTTCCCGGGTAGGAAAAGACGACACTTAACCACCTAGTGTGAGTCTAAGTGATCACCGTCTATTCTGGTTGAGGTCATGTTATACATTGGATAGTTCCCTTAGGATGTATACCGATATAGTACTCGTCCGATTCATAATGATTAATTTATTTGATTCTCTGATTTGGATCATAATAGAGAGGACTTGCTCGTGGGGTTGACCCACCATTGTTGTTATTTCAGGATACGGTCAGTACCCGTTCCAAGGTTGAGGTTAGCAGTGAGGGACCACCATCCGAACTCATCTACTCTTACGATCCAGTTCAGGGTAGAAGTTTTATGTATTACATCAGTTTCAGCTTTTATTTACTTTTGACGTTGAACTCTCCGGTTTATATTTAGGGATCCTTGACATAGGATTTCCAAGTTGTAATGGAGTACTATATTAAATAAAGGATGGATGGATGTTGTATTATTTAGTGTTCCTTTCCTGTCTAAATTCTTTTATTATCATCATTTTGTATTCCATGCTTGTATAGTACCAATTGTTTTTGATATCCCTCGTTTTTCGTGTATAAGCCTGATCAACTTATGCGTGGAAAATGTTGGGGGTGTCACAAATAACCTCTAAGTCAATAATGCACTTTGACCCCTCTATGCATAATTAGTTATCGAATAAATAAAGCCATCAATCCGACTACTTAATTAATATATTTATTTTAGTACCATTGATTATTTCTGGCTCGATCACAATAAAACATTTGTTTGACAAAAATAATAATTTAAATAAATAAATATATAATAAATCATTTTGTCTAAAAATACACGAAGGCCTTTGAATTTACTTTGTGATCAACCATAATCAATACAAAATAAATACAAGTAGCAATGATGCAAATATTGAAAATATAACCCTCTAACTATTAATTACAAAACTACCCAAAGTGTCGATCTAAGGATCCCGAAGAATCCGCAGAACAAATCAAAATAATTATTAATTAATAAAAGAGTCTATACTTTTTTCATGTGTTAAGAGTCAAATGCCATGACAGTGATAGGGAGCAATTGCATACGACGACTCTTACAATATATCTCAACCTAACACGGATCCAGTTCAAGTCTTAATTAATTATGATTCCATCCATAATTACCGAATATGAATAATTTATGATTACTATTTATACTCATGTATTGATCGCCATCACATACATATAAATATCTCTTGTAATCAAGAGGACACTATCAATTCTATAATGAATCGAAACATAATACATTGAATTCACCAATTGTACAAAACATAAATATTTTAGAAACATTAGGAACATACGTCACTTTAATCCAAACAGGAATTTGCTATGCCAGGGCATATAAATCCCAACAGCAACACCCCTTCTTCCTCTCCTTGGTTCTTGGCCAATTCTTCCCTTCCTCCTCTCTCCGTTCTCTCACAAACTCTCTGTTCCTTCTCTGCCTCTACTATTACGTGAATAGAGTTCTAAAACCCTTGGCAGACACAACTTATATATATATATATATATATATAGTATAAGCTAACCCTAATCCCAATCAATTATTAAGTCGACTATCTCAAGGGAAAAGAAAATAAAATAAAATATACGATATACATAATAAATTTATTTTACATAGACTAATACGTGATATATATATAACTATATATATATTGATAAGAATTATAATAAAATATCACCTCCTTATACATATATACCCATATATATATGCATAACTTCCTATGGATAGTCTCCGTACCCATTTAGTGGCCTATCTAAGTAGACCATGTGACTCAATTGGATGGTCCATTCCTATTATCCAAAATCATTTAAAACAAAATAAAACCAAATAAAAATACCCATTTAATTCTTAACAAATAAATTACAAGTGAGCACCTGACATTTAAGTAAAAAAAAAAAAAAAAAACACATCATCAATCATACAATTTAATTAGCCAATTATTCCAAATAAACAATTAAAAAACTAAACAAATAGCCAAGAAAATTAATTAAATAATTAAAAATGTAATTAAATCAATTAATTAAATACCAAGACTATCCTTTTAAAATTAGGGGTATTACAGGATGTCAATGGATTTACACTGTGAAGTATAAAGTCGATAACTCAGTTGAACGCTTTAAAGCGAGATTAGTGGCAAAAGGTTACACCCAAACCTATGGAATCGATTACATAGAGACATTTGCACCTGTAGCCAAAATCAACACAATTCGAGTCTTGTTGTCTTTAACTGTGAACTTGGATTAGTCATTGCAACACTTCGATGTGAAAAATGCCTTTCTGCGTGGCGAATTATCTGAAGAAGTTTACATGGATTTCCCACTAGGATGCATGATACCCGAAAAACATAGTCAGAAGGTGTGCAGGTTGAAAAAATCGTTGTATGGGTTGAAATAATCTCCGAAAGCATGGTTTGGAAGGTTCACAAAGTCTATGATAACCTTTGGCTACCATCAGAGCAATTCAGACCACACTTTATTCCTAAAGAAACAACATGGTAAAATAACTGCACTCATTGTATATGTGGATGCCATGGTGATTACAGGGAATAATCCTGAAGAAATAAAGGCTCTTAATAATTTCTTGTCCAGAGAATTCGAAATGAAAAATTTAGGTCCTTTGAAATATTTTATTAGGATCGAAGTATCTCGATCAAATAAAGAAATCTTTTTATTTCAAAGAAAATATGTCTTAGATTTATTACAAGAGACTGATATGACAGAATGTCAACCAATTGATACACCAGTTAAAATATGCCTTAAATCTATTATAAGATATTGGTACGACAGCATGTCAATCTCCGGTCATTAGAAGTCACTAAGGGGCATTGTAGTCCGATTTCACTCTCACTGCTCTCTATTCAATCTCATTCTAAGTATTATATATATATATATATATAAAAGTCCCTAAGGGCATTGTGATCATTTTACCAAGGGTCATTTTCTAATGTTTATAAGACAGAAGGGACCATTTGTATATATATATTTCAAATGTTAAGAATTTTTGGATTTATATTGAATAGGAAGGGAATTACTCCACATTTTGTATATAACCCAAGAAACCGGAGAATAGTATTGCACTTTTTCAAAGACTATTTTGACAGAATATACTTATTTACACAATTTTAAAAATCGGGAGTTTTCACAAAATTTGTACTAATAGGGATTTCTATTTCAAACAGATTTGTATAGAATTAATTTTTCAAAATATTAATATATAAACAACTAAGATTTAAACCCAAAAAAAAAAAAAATGAAAAAAAGAAAAGAAAAGGTCATCATCATAACTATAGATTAAATAAATATCTATATTTAAAATTTAAAATTAGAATTCACCTTTGTGAGCTCACCCTTTTACCATTAATTAAATTCGGATTTAGTTTATATGACATGTTTCAAACAAATATTTTGCAATTATTCTGCAATTATATTATTTTTCCGTGTCCAGCAATTACGTAAAATTTTGAAAAACGCAGCTAAACCCTTCCCTCCCCCAAATCACGATCTTCCTTTCCCAAACACGACCGCTCTGCCGATTCTGCGCTGGCCGTGGTCTTCTCCACCGTAAGCTCATCCAACGGCGAGAAGAAGAAGCTCCTCCACCACTTTATCTCCTTCTCCACCGCGAGCTCCTCCAGGTTTTTGCTCTCAATTTCTCTCGCTTCGCGCCACAAATCACCACTCACCACTTTTTTTTTTTTATATATATAGAGATACTAGTCACTGATTATTTGATGTTCATATGTGTGTGTATATATATATATATATACACGCAGAGCAAATAATTTGAAGAGTTCGTGCAGTGCTGTTGGCGACTATTTTTGGTTGGAATTTGCTCTTGCAATTTTCTTCTATGTGCTCTTTATTATTTTTCTTCTTTGGCATGCAAAATATAACAAGAAACGACTAGAATATTGTACATGCTATATTGCTGTTTGAATTAGGAAGGAAAGGAGATATTGCTAGTTACAAATTAGTTATTACATTCATGGTTTGTGGAAAAAAAAAGTGCAAAATAATATATATATATTTTTTTGTATATAGAACACAATCATATTATATAATTTATATTAGAATTTTGTTGCCGTATCTTTTTGTGTCCGTGTCCCTTTATTTATTATTATTATTTTGGGAAGATTTGGTGTATCATTGTGCTCTGTCCTGTGCTTCACGGTGATGACTGGTGAACATACCAGATTAAGAAATACTGGCCCTTGTATGACCTCCATCATCAAGGGAGTTATGCCCCAAGTGGGACTAAATTGGTGTATATGTTGTTTATTTTTTATTTTTTTAAAATGCTAGAGTGTGGCTATGGAATCTAGTTGAGGCCAAGGGCTCATCAGTTTTGTTTGTTGATTTTGGTTTGGACTCAGTGATGGGTTTGAAATTTGATGGTATTTGTAATTCTATTACATTTGCTAGAAATCTTAGTAAAGCATGTTATTTAATTTTGAAAAAAAAAAAAAAAAAATTATGCAGACTTTTCAAAAAATCCTTATGTAATTTTTCTTTTGATTATTTTGTTACAGTCAGAGTTGAGATGTATCAGTAGATTATGCAGGAGATCCAATTTTAGTAACTGTTTTGCAAGGGGAAGGAGAACAACAAATGTTATATGCTTTACTGCAGTTAACACGATAAAGAGTACAACTAGTGTGTGTGTGTGTGTGTGTGTATCATTTTTTTTCTTTTTCTTTTGAAGATTTTAAGCAATAGACAGCTTCTTGCTGAAAGCAATGTAGGTTACTGGATTGTGCAAGGACAAGACTTTTTCCACATAATTTGTATTAACTCACACAGTCATGATGACTTCACAGGCTTTCTCGAGGTTGAACTCCTCTTATTTCCAAACAGTGTGGAGGTAGTTTCTAACAACTAGGCACCTCAAGCTTCTTGAGGTTAAACTCCTCTTATCTCCAAAAAATACTGGAAATATTCGATGTAATTTGTTATGCATAAAAAATTGGAAATGATCCAATTTCCATTGGCCATGTTACTAAATAACATGTAGTAGCGTTTAGATACCTCAATCTCTTACGAAAATGATTCTCAAGCCGAGTCGATGTAAGTCAATTCTCTTACAAGGTAGTGGTGGACGTACCACCCCTTTGTGAGAGAGTTGGCTTATGTTGACTCAATTTGTACATCATTGTTTTTTCCCTTGTGTGACGGCATTCCAATTTGGAGACAACAGTTTCATATAAGTCAATAATCAGTAATATTAGTCCATCTCCAGCCTGTAACGGCGTGTTTTCAAGTATTGTATTTCTAATCTCATTATTGCTTCTCTAACTGGAGAAGTGATTAGAAATTATGATTTACAACTCCAAATAGCTATATGCTTTTGCAACTCCAAATAGCTATATATTGTACAACGAAGTGTGTGATATTAAAACAATATCATTCACAAACTAATTTCCAAATAAGAATAGGAGGAATGTGGATGGACACATGTTAGTAAGTGATTAATAATCATAAATATATGGGATTATTCATTAAAAATATATAAAATTACTAGTAAATATTAGTTTCCTAAATATATTAGGAATGTTGATGGACACATGTTAGACCAATGGTACTAATGGATGTTAAAAATGAAAACGTAATAAGAAGTTTATGATAATGCAAATAAATGAATAGAAGGCCAAATAGATATTGAAAGAAAGTAACTGTGTGATTAGTTTATTCATTAAAAATTGTATATGGAAAAATTGTATTAAAAATGCTATAGACATTTTATACAGTATATATAGTATAGATAATAGATATATATAGAGTAATGAACTCTCACGGATAGCTGAGTTGATATAACATCTTTGGGCATGAGCTAGTGGTCTTATGTCCAATTCTTGGGGGAAGTCAAGCCTCAGCCTCAGGTCTTGTGTTCAAAACTGTTTGACTATTTTCCTCATTTTCCCTTTTTTCAGTTTCAGAATGAAAGGAGATTTTGGATTTGTTTGGTTCAGTTTTCTGTAAACAGTCCTCAAAAAGGATAAAGTTTATATATTTATATATATATATATATATATGCATGTATAATTTTCAGTTTGTTTTGACTTATCAAAAAAAAGTTGTTTATTTTTTCCAAGAAATTTGTTCAATTGGATGAGGTTATTTTAATTATTTATTTTTCTTCCAACTTGTAGACTTGGAAGTGACATGAGACATGCTTGCTATTTCACTGTTCCCAAAGCTTTGTAAGTAGTAATTTTCACTTGGATCTTTTGATTAGTTGTTCTTAAAGTATTCCTTTTATTTTATGAGCTGCACTTATTTTATAACTGCAATATATATATTTTTTTTCCTAAATAACTGCGATATATATATATGTTTGCCACGAAACAGAGGGGAAAGAGTAGGAAAGTAGAATTAAACATTTTGTTATATATATATTTAGGTAGATATGTCAGTTAAAACGGAATATCCTAAAGGTAGATCCAAAGGTGCGCAGGGTAATCAAGGAGGTAAAATTAGATCGGTTACTGGCTTGCTGTGGCAGGCTAGTGAGTTGAAGCTTTGGAACTTGTTATTTACCTAGTGTACTTCCTCAATAACCATTCCATTTCCCAATTTTATTTTGTGTCATTTTGTAAATCTCCGGCTGTTCTGTGGATCAATGTGTGGCAATCGCTTGTTATTTAAAAAAAAGAGAGAAATAATAAAGAAAAAAAGAAAACGGAAAAGGCTTTACTTCACGGTGCGGGTGTTTAGATCATATTGGCCAATTTATTCTTTGTAAATGTTGAGTAGGATGATCAGTGTTAATTCAATGTTGTTTTTGTCACCTCTTAGATTATTTGGTTAAAGAGTACTTGTTTTACTATATGGCAATTGGACCCAACTGATGAAAGCTAATAGAACCTATTGCATAACTTAGACTCATGACTTCCGTTTGTAGAGAAGAGACATGGCTTCTATGTGACAACTTTTAGTCGCATTTAGTGGTGCAAATAGGAAGCAGATTATCTACCATAAAGTTGACCAGCTTACAATGCTATCAAATCTTAAATTTAATCATTAATTGAATAAACATGGGAGTATTGCTATCTGGGCGTGTCCTGGAAATGGGAGAATAGGAACTTCATTAGAAATATTAATAGTGCACCCTCTCACAAGGACCTAACTTCAAGGTCTTGCGAAGATTATTTAGATAAACATCCTAATATGGTAGATTACCTTTTGCCTTTAGGAGAACATTAAACACGACTAATCTTTTTTTTTTTTTTTTTTGATTAGTATTAAACACGACTAATCTGAGCCAAACAGTGTCTTGGATTTGGTTCCAAGCAATGAGATCGATAAGGTTTAATTTTAATATATTTTGTTTTCCTACATTTTCTTAGTAGCCAAATGGCCATCTGTAATTTTGCACTCATTGTAGTCCAAATTTTGAATTGCTGGCCTAAAGATTACAAATGGCTTCACTTGAATTACATTTCTCTAATAAATTGTTATTTGTTTTGTAGAAAGTTTGGAGCAGTAGTAGCAAGACAGTCATCGAGTTTCAAAGTTCCATTAAAGTGTTCTTATAGGCAAATTCACATGGAGAGTAATTACGACAGCAACTCAAGAGGTGCTTTGATTGTTCTAGAAGGTTTGGATTGTTGTGGGAAGACCTCACAATCTAGTAGACTACTATCCTTTTTGGAGGGACTAAGGCATTCAGTCGAATCATGGCGGTTTCCTGATAGAAATACGGGTGTTGGGCAAATGATTTCTTCGTATCTTGCGAATAAATCGCAATTGGATGACCACACAATCCATCTCCTCTTTAGTGCTAACCGCTGGGAGAAAAGGTCTGTTCATTGTCACATTGAGTTCTACATTCTTGAAATAGATATGGTTGCAATTCCAACTTCAACCTCATATGCATTGTTCACTTGCTTCTGTTAGTAGTTCATCAGTTGAGCATACCTTTTCCATGAAAGCTGGCTATAATGAATGCTCATGTCAATCTATTTAGTGTCCGGTAGAATCCTTCTACATCCCGTAGCATTTTTTTAACTGTTTAGTGGTTTACCCATCCTATGAACATGAGTAAAGAGTCTGTGTAAGATCATCCATCCAAAGTCTGTTTTATGATATCATCATTCTTCTTCCTTCAATTCTTTAATGATATTAAACTGAACATTAAGAACTAAAAAGGGAAATACCATATAGGAAAGCTAATTTGTTTGGAATTGTGGTAGATTTCTTCTCATTTCCTTGAGGAAAATGCTTACTAATTGGCATACCTAATTGTTCAATGCTTGCTCAATTTTTGTTTCACCCAGCCTCTTCTTGTTTTAAAATGCAAATATAGAGTTTTAAAGAAGTTAATTGGAATAATTCAATAGACGTTTTAGTTGTAAACTTGTAATGGTAAGATTGAAATTATGCATTTCCATTTGGTGGTTCTCCCCGTGGCATTTGTTTTGTTTTTGCCCCGGATGACGTGATCATGACTCATTACCTGTAATGAAGTTTGCACCACATAGACCAACTGCCTATGCAGATATTCGATTTGTTTTTCACTATACTTATGCCAACTGCCTATGAGATATAACACCAGTCCTTTTTGCGAGGATGATCTAATTGTTTAATTTGCAAGATTAGAAGTGCCCCCATAGGACCAAAGGCTGTAGCCTAGTGTACTTCCTCACCTTCCAAAGTAGAGGGTCGAGGGTTCAAGTCCCCATAGGAGCAAGTGGGTGTGTGTGTTTCTTGCCAAGATAAAAAAAGAAGTGCCCCCAAATGTTTTACTTGTATTTAGGCCATTTTTTTGTTAATTAAACCCCTCTATGAAGGTTCATTTGGAGGATTGATGTCCACTGGACGAATCCCCCATAACTAAGATGGCAAGTTTTTTGTTTGATATCATTCTCATTGTCCCTTTTAGTGTATAAGTTGTGAATTGATAATCCTTTTGGTTGAACTTTTGTGGCTCCAATCAGTCCTTTTCCAATTGCCAAGGTTTTGGCTGAATTTGGGTCCGTAATTGTTGACTTCGCTAGCTTATTTTGGCCTGACTTATATGAGGTTTTCCATCTAAACTTCATTTTGTTGGAAATTTATTTTTAAAATGATATTCAAATATTTAAAAATGAGTGAAATTTAAAACTTACCTGAATTTTAAGCATTGATCCCTAAAATCTCATCTCTCTCTACTGCCATTTGAGTCCTGCACCTTCACCTGATGGAGGAACAGGGAATATAACATGAGCTCGACAGCTGTTTGGTTGCAACCATATCTTCATTTGTTTATGTAATCCAGTCCCGGTCCTGGACTTTCTGAAATTTCAGATAAACTGCTGGAGGTTCAGAACCATGTATCTAATTTAATTTTAACATCTTTGTTATTGTGATTTATTTGCTCCTTTTTTTTTTTTTTTTTAATTAAAGAATGTTTTTGCACAGCCAATGTTGTGAAGTAATGTTGGTTCCCTGATAGTTCATTTTTAGGATCCATTGGCAATCAATCATGAAGTGGACATCAGCATAAGTGCATGGCTGCAGTGATACATTGTACTTCATCATCTACAATTTGTTTGCAGATCATTAATGGAGAGTAAGCTAAGGGGTGGAACCACCCTCATTGTTGACCGCTATTCTTACTCGGGGGTGGCGTTTTCATCTGCCAAAGGACTTGATTTTGGATGGTGTAAGGTGAAGACAAGCTTTAAGTTATTGTAGAATTAGATTTATTTTCTTTGTAGTGGTGAAAGAATGAGGTCTTCTTGTGTAGGCACTGGAGATGGGGTTGTTGGCTCCAGATGCGGTTTTATACCTTGACATCCCGCCAGAGGTAATACTATTTTATTTTGAAATTGGGGAAGAATAACATCAAGATGTTAATTTGAAGATTTCAGTAGTAGCATTGTCATCTAGCTTGTAAGGTACAGACATGCAGTTTTATTTTAAGGCTGTTTGTTTACATATACAACTGCTTGGCAACAAACAATCTCCTTCTAATGGATCTAACAACTGTGTTTCCTCATTAGGAAAATGAGAGGATGCCATTCAATAAATTGTTCACTGTTGTGGTCACTTGCTTAAGAATGATTCAGGTTGAATAAAAAATGAGTTAGAAAAAAATCACTTTGCCCCATCTGTGTTGTAGAAATTCTATGTATGATATAAATGAAACAGTACTATTGGCTTAATTTCTGCTAGTGTGCACCTCAATGCATATTATTCCAAATTAAAAAGTTTTCAGGCAAAATGAAAATTCTTTTTGAAATGATCAGAAAGCTGCTGAAAGGGGAGGCTATGGTGGTGAGCGATATGAGCAGCTTGAGTTTCAAAGGAAAGTTGCCAAATCTTATCAGATTCTCCGTGATGCGTCATGGAAGGTATTATTATGCCTTGGTTATCAGTTATTTCCTTCTTTTTTTAATTTAAGGCTGTCGCTGCAAAACAGAAATGTTCCAGTTTAACTTTGCATTAAAAGAGTTATGCCTTCTGGGGAAAAAAAGGAGCTTTTATTCATGGCTTCTGGTTGTAATGCCATTCCGGGTTGTCACCATAGAGCTTATGATGTTTATTAATCCTTGGCTTGAACACCAAGTCTTGATTTTTCATTTTTGCAAAATGATATCCTTTTCTCCAATTAAATGATAAAACAAGGAAAAAAAATTAAGAAAATATAACAAGCATCATGTAATGGTAAGGTACACCAACTTTTGAATTTGTGTTGTCATGCGCTAGCTTGATTGGTGTCTCCTCCATCCCCCAAAGAGGAGATTGAGGGTTCAAGTCCAACTGGGATTTAAGTGAGTATGTGTCTTTTTCCCATCCAAAGTTGAATGAATAAGTAATGAAGCATATATAGTTTGTTTCACCTGGATTCTAGGAAGAAATGAATAAAGAGATTCAATAAGAATGAGTGGTGAAAGGAACTACTAAAGATAAGGTTGATGCAACAAAGCATATTTTAATTCAATAGTCACCCGGAATATTCAGATATACTGATCACAGATCAGGATCATATATCCAGGGAACAAACAATTGATTGAGAACTCAATAGGTCACCCGGAATATTCAGATACACTGATCACGGATCAGGATCATATATCCAGGGAACAAACAATTGATTGAGAACTCAATAGGTTACCCGGAATATTCAGATATACTGATCACGGATCAGGATCATATATCCAGGGAACAAACAATTGATTGAGAACTTTTGTTTCTCTTTTTTACTTGCTAAGGATGACATGACTGAAACTATGTTTTGCATGTTTGGAATGGTGAACACCTCTTGCTGACTATTTATTGTCCTGTGCAGATTATAGATGCCTGCCTCCCCATTGAAGATGTCGAAACACAGCTGAGAAAGATTGCGCTAGATTGTGTGATGACATGCCAAAAAGGAAAACCTCTCTCCCAGCTCTGGTCAGTTAACTAACTGTTCATTCTCTGATAGGGAAAGCAACACATGTATTTCCACAAACTTGAGTACTATAATACGGAGTAGCATTGATTGCAATATATTATTTCAAAAATCGATTCATTTCCGGTTTGTTTCATAAACAAGTGCCTGTATTGCTCTGTTTATTCTCTATTAGGTGAGTGGCTTTTAGGTGGTTAATGATTGGAACTGCGCAAATAATTTACCTTTCTGTTAATGCTTAGTTCATATAAATGATGAAGAAAAATCTTCAAACCGTATGGTCTGAAATCACTAAGTTTTCATCTCCTGTTGTGCTCTGAGGATTTGTGCTTCTATCAGAAGCAGAGAAATGGATTCATTCTGGAAAATCTAGTCTAGTTCAGCGGTTGGATGTCTTGCTTTTTTATTATTGACAGGTACCAAGTCGCAACCTTCTGTTTTTTTCAACAAAATTGATTTGATTTTTGGATGATATAACATGTGTGAATTTTGTAAGAAGCATGAAAGCCAGAAGTTTTGAACTTGTGATCGCGTTTGGTTCTACAGAATTAACAAGTTGAATTCTGGAACTGGAATTGACAGAAAGTTAGGTCAAGTTTTGAGTGTTGTGATTGCAAATTTAATCTGAAGGCAGCTATATTGCCAAAAGTAACCCGCGTCAGTAATCTTTACGAGTACATAATAACATTTCTCTAAGAAACTAGTATTGTGAGTAAGAATTGACATCATCGTGATGTCATTAATATACATGACTATTCCCTATCATTAATATAATTATGACTATTCCCTTACACAAATACTTGAAATCTTCTTTCCAAAAAAAAAAAAAAAAGTGTTGTACAATTTCTACTTGTTTGGATTGATTTCTTTTCCTGCAAAGAAAGCAAATAAATGAGAACCATTTGCTTATAGCAACCTATCCAGAAGCAAACCAGAACCAGTGGAGAATTTTTGTTTCTTTTTATTTTTTTTTTATAAGTAAAAATTTATTTATTTAAAAAAAAAAAAACACTATAACTGGTAAAGCAATGGAATTGAGTTGACAGTATGGCTATGTTTAACTGTATGGAGAGCATTAGAATTGAAATTGGTGAAATTGAAAAAAAAAATTTGGTCTAACTAAAAATTTAACTTTTTTTTCAATTCCATATAGTAGAATATAACCTATAAATAATTGATGGTAAAAAACGACATTATATTATGAAGAAGGGAACATGATAGCCAAGTGAGGAAGTAACAAGTAATGCAAAACAAAAGAGAATTTCAAAAGAATGACAAAAAAAAAAAAATTACGTAGTAATAAATAAATAAATAAAAGAAGAAGAAGAAGAATTGGGCATGAAGAAAAATAATAAATTCGAAAATAAAGCTAAGAATGTGGTAAATAAAACTAAAGAAAATGCATTCAATGGTTTCTTTATGAAAAATTCGGTACAAATGAAGATGAAAAAGATATAAGTTGACAAAAACTGAAGATAGGTTGACCAAAGATATAGGTCAAATTAGATTTTTGAAGATAGGTTGACCAAAGATATAGGTCAAATTAGATTATTAAAGATATATATCAAGAGATATTAGTTAAAGAGAGAACTAAATAATGCACTTAAAATGATGAGTAATATTGGACCTACAAATTTATGCAATAAAATTCTGAAATAAGAAACATTTAATGAGTGAAGAAAAAGTAAATAAAATAAAGGCCATATGCAAAATTGTGAAAAAAACTCATATAAATAAATAGGGTGAACTACATTAAACCCCCTTTTTCTATCTACGTTTTGCACTAAACCCCCCTTTTCAATTTTTTTTTGCCAAAAAACCCCCCAAACTATTCGACGAGGTGATTTAATTTACGGAAGTTAGCTAAAAGGGAATTAAAATAAATTGACTTAAATAAATACCCATTAGGCCTTTTTAAAAATCTAGGTGTGTCTTATTTATTTATTTTATTATTATTATTATTTTTATTTATTTTCTTAGTTGGTGGTACTCACACACATATGTTTCTACTAAGGCTTGAATTTCTAACCTCGCTTTGGAAAGTAAAGGTTCGATACCGCTAGGCCACTCCCGTTGGCATTTTATTTTATTTTATTAAATAACCTAAACAACATATTTCATAGAAATTAATAGTTCTATTATATGTATTTTTAATATGTTAACATTTTACTAGACTAGGACATAAAAAATAAGGTTTTGAAAGCAGTCTTTTATTTAATTGAAAAAAAAAAATCAATTCTGTTTCTAAAAGAATGGGTTAAACAATTCCATAATAATGTCATAACGATCGTCAAGTTCACATTAGTTGCACGGAATGAATACATTTTTTATTTTTATTTAAAAAAAAAAAAAAGAAAAAGAAAACGAAGATACATGTAGGCATAAATAATAAAAAAGGAAAAAAATTAGATATAACTTCTGGTAGTAGTAGAAGTTAAATATTATACATACCATTATATTATGATACATATCATATATATATATGATGGGTGAATAAAAGAAGTAGAGCAAAAAGAAGAGTACGAATTGCTACAATGGTGGAGGATATGCGGCTAAGAGTGATAATGAAGTAAATATATATGTGTGGTATATTAAAATAAGTTCAAAGATATTTTTATCTAAAAAATATATGAAAAAACTCAATATCTAAATAACTCCTTTCAGTTAACTTTCGTCAGTTAAATCACCCCCCTCGGATAGTCGAATAGGATTTTTTTGGCAAAAAAAAAAAATAGAAAAGAGAGATTTAGTGCAAAATGCAGATAGAAAAAGAAGGGTTTAATGCAGTTCAGCCAAATAAATATTACACTATGGTAAAAGGGATTTAGATTTTCTCAATATCACAATTGTGTTTTATTATTATTATTATTATTATTATTTTAGTAACATTTGTTTAAAAAGTTGATATATCATAATTTTTCAAGATTTTAAATAATGTAAAGTAGAGTTTATAACAATGCACGTGCGTGTGATTTTTTTTACTTTATGTAATTATTGTATAAAATTAATCTTATTTTTTTATTTTTTCCTGTTCTCCTTCATATTTGTGTTATTAAGTGTGAAACTTGCCCGCCAATTGTGCTTCCAGCTTGCAGATCCTCGAGCTTCAGATGACCTCGCTTCAGAAATTAGAGCACAAAACAACTGTGATTTCCAAACAGACCCAACATAAGTAGAATTCTGAAAATACTGAACTTTTGGCGATTCCATATCTTCTTAGTGCCACTAAATTAAATATGTTTAAAACAAATACATTTCCAAGATGTCTCTCAAATTCATAAATTTGAGCTTACTAAAAATTGCATCTCTCCTATAAGGTCTTCTTCCATCGAAAGCTACACAATTGAATCGAACCAAAACACACTAATACTTCCTTTTCCTTATTTTGAAAGTGGATGATCGGATAACATCATCGTCTGTGGTCAGTGTTCCCTCCAGAGCTTCCATGGACTCGGGTTTGGTGAAATAAGTGAAGAGGAGGTAGATACCATCTAAGTAAGTGTTACTTTCTCCGGCTTTGTTTCTCTTCTTGATGCTGTAGGCGAGCGGAATGACACCTCTATTAAACACCTCTACATACATGCCACCTCCAGCAACAAGCAACTGCAAAAATGAGTACCATGATAGTGCCTTTAGAACAAACTTACAATAAGATGGTGATTGGCAACTAAGATTCCAGATACGTTCATTATGCTTTTGCATACAAAATAGATATTCTTCTTCTTCCTTTTTTTTTTTTTTTTAATTTTTATTTTGGTTCTCACAATACATGAGACATTCTAGCTGGATATAAGTTTCAAATTTAACCACAATAAGGATCAAGAACCGAGAATATTTACAATATATGCATCAAGATCTCGCAGCCCAATCCTTCAAAGAGTAAGTTGTTAACACGTTCATAATTCATTTGTTTCAGTGAGCATTTGTGCAGCAGCATTCTATACAAGTTCTAATTGTGTTTCTTAATTCAATTTCAAACCTTTGTGCTTTGTGTAGAGGAAACAACTGCAAAATTTTAGGATATGTAATCATTCAAATCTTGCATATCCAATTTCAAAAGTTGTTCTTATCTCATCTGACACTACTGTTTATCACGGGTGGGTCTGCAACTTCTAATCCAAGGGAATATATATTTGAACTAATCAATTACTGATGGGAGATGAGCTTTTTCAAGCAGTAAGGTTATGGAACACTTCAAAATAATACTGCAAAAAAAAAAAAAAAAAAAAAAACCATTATTTGTGGACATGGGCATGGGATGTCAAGACAAGGGCCGCTAGAAAAACAAGATGGGGTCGATTCCATACACACATATACACGTATATATGGTATATGACTGCTTCGGCACTTTTTATTTTTTTTGGGTTAAGTACTGCACCAGGGGGAGCATTTGCAAATTTTTTTTGAGAATGCAAAGTTTTGCTAAAATAACCAAGCACATGTTGTGGGGACAATGAATACAAATTATAAATAAATAAAACAAAGGGGTCTTTTCGGTTATTTAGAAGATGCCTCAAGTCAGTGCTTCCAACGTCGGGAAGCAAAGGCAATGTAAGAGAGAGAAAAAGGAAATAAAGGTCTTGAAATTGTAAAAGTGACTAAATTGAAGCCTAAATTAGATTTAAAATACTCTACAATAATATTTTACCGTAGGAAAGAAAAGAAACATATGAGAAGTATAAACATTTAGCCATATCCACGTGCCTCTAGGTTGGGGGTGTTTACAAATCTAACTTGTCAAAAAAAAGGGTGTTTTACAAATCTGATATTGACGTCCCGCATTGTCCAGGGGGAGAAGTTGTTGGCATTTATATGTGTGAATACCTCCTAACTATGTAGACACGTTTTGAAAACCGTAAACATGGAAAGTGTGCAAATCTGCAACTTCTAATCCAAGGGAAATATATTTGAACTAATCAATTACTGATGGGAGATGAACTTTTTCAACCAGTAAGGTTATGGAACACTTCAAAAAAAAAAAAAAAAAAAAAAAAAAAAAAAAAACCATTATTTGTGGACATGGGCATGGGATGTCAAGACAAGGGACGCTAAAAAAACAAGACGGGGTGGCTTCCATACACACATATACACGTATATATAGTATATGACAGCATTGGCACTTTTTTATTTTTGTTGGGTTAAGTATTGCACCAGGGGGAGCATTTGCAAATTTTTTGTGTTTTTGAGATTGCAAAGTTTTGCTAAAATAACCAAGCACATGCTGTGGGGACAATGAATACAAATTATAAATAAATAAAACAAAGGGGTCTTTTCGGTTATTTATAAGATGCCTCAAGTTAGTGCTTCCAACATCGGTAAGCAAAGGCAACGTAAGAGAGAGAGAAAAAGGAAATAAAGGTCTTGAAATTGTAAAAGTGACTAAATTGAAGCCTAAATTAGATCTAAAATACTCTACATTAATATTTTACCGTAGGAAAGAAAAGAAACATACGAAAAGTATGAACGTTTAACCATATCCACGTGCCTCTGGGTTAGGGTGTTTTACAAATCTGATATTGACGTCCCACATTGTCCAGGGGAAGTAGTTGTTGGCATTTATATGTGTGAATACCTCCTAACTGTGTAGACGCGTTTTGAAAACCGTAAACAGAAAAAGTGTGCAAAACGGACAATATCTACACAGCGGCAAGTTGTGACCTAAGTCACACAAAGCAGGAGCAAGAGCGGCAGTGAAAGCGCGTGAGCGTCAAAATAAAAAAAAATTGAGAGCGGGAGCGCCCTTAGCGTTTGTTCATTTATTTATATATACTTAGTCAAATTAATGCATTATCATTTTTATTTTTTAAATAGTACTTTTAGTTAAATTTTATAATAGAAAAGTACTTGAAAGTAATAAGAAATTTATATATCATTATTTTTAAAATATTAAATTTATGTAGTAGTAGTTATATTACTTAATTGTGTCTATCAAGTCACAAACAAAAAGTGGCCTAGCGGTTGCATAATTGCATTTTTAAGTTTACCTTTAAAAACTCATGGGTTCAATCCTTAACCCCCATGCATTTTCCTCATTATTTCATACACGACACGTGCACGTGCATGTGTCAATCAGACCCACAAATGTGCCAATCCGCAAATTCCATAATTGAATCCATGCTCTATGAAATTTGAGTTAGAGAATTTTCAACGAATTCACTCCTGATCCGTGGATTCACACGTGGAGCACCAGTGTGTGACCCCTATACACGAATTATGTGATCTAGGTTGTGACAAGTGATTGTAGAGTCGATCCCTAATCGGAAATGGGGGAGCGTGCACAAGCCCATGAGAGTTAGGCCAGGGAGGATGCTAGGTCCCGAGAGGAAGTGATTGTGATGTCCCACGTCGTTTGAGAAAAGAAGTTATTGGCACTTATATGTATGAATGCCTATTGCCTCCTAACTGTGCAGAGACATTTTGAAAACCGTGAGCATGGAGTGACAATTGGTGTCTTGATTTGAAGAAGATGGAAATATATATATATATATATATAATCCAAGAAGACATTGAGGGGATAACATTAAAGCTTTTATTGAACTTGCTTGGAAAAGGATTTGTTCTGCAAGCGCCAATTCGCGTGATTAAGGCATTTCTATGAGGATTTTGTGATTTAGTGTGTCAGTTTTGATTATGTAGCTGAATAAAAGATTTGTAAAACACCCTTACCCAGAGGCACATGGATATGGCTAAACGTTCATACTTTTCATATGTTTCGTTTCTTTCCTAGGGTAAAATATTAATGTAAGGCTTTAATCTAGTCATTTTACAATTTCAAGACCTTTACTTTCTCTCTCTTACATTGCCTCTGTTTGTTTTAGTTATTCATTGTCCCCACAAAATAAATAAAACAAAGGGGTCTTTTCGGTTATTTAGAAGATGCCTCAAGTTGGTGCTTCCAACGTTGGTAATCAGAGGCAATGTAAGAGAGAAAAGAATAAATAAATAAAGGTCTTGAAATTGTAGAAGTGACTAGTTGAAGCCCAAATTAGATCTCTAATGCTCTACATTAATATTTTACCCTAGGAAAGAAAAGAAACATATGAAAAGTATGAACGTTTAGCCAAATTAGATCTCAAATGCTCTACATTAATATTTTACCCTAGGAAAAAAAGAAACATGCGAAGAGTATGAAAGTTTAGCTAAATTAGATCTCAAATGCTCTACATTAATATTTTACCCTAGGAAAGAGAATAAGCATATAAAAAGTATGAACGTTTAGCCATATCCACATGCCTCTGGGTTTTAGTGTTTTACAAATTTGATATTCAGCTACATAATCATAACTGACAAATACTAAATCAAAAAATCCTCTTAGAAAGGTGTCGCTCTCACGCAATCACATGAATTAGAGCTTTCAGAACAAATCCTTCTTCAAGTAAGTTCAATAAAAACTTTAATGTTGCCCCCTCAATGTCCTCTTGGATTGTATATATAAATAAATATATATATATATATATATATATATATAAGTGCCACCAACTTCTCTTCTCAAGCGATGTGGGACGTCACAATCACTTCCTCTTGGGACCTAGCATCCTCGCTGGCCTAACCCTCACATCCTCTTGGGACCTAGCTTCCTCACTGGCCTAACACTCATGGGCTTGTGCACGGTCCCCCATTTCCAATTAGGGATAGAATCTGAAAACACTAGTTACAACTTGTCCTATTTTATAGATATTGTCTGCTTTGCACACTTTCCGTGTTCATGGTTTGCAAACGCATTTACACAGTTAGAAGCTATTCACACATATACCCACTCTTTTGTCATCTGAGCCTAATTCCAATATTGCTAAAAAAAATTCCTGAATAATATTGTTGTTTTTCACATTACACACATTAATCCTATCAAAAGCCACTTTAATTCCATTACAAAAGTTTTGCTCTACCCCAATACATCCTAAATCCTTCACAATTGGCTTTAAAAGTCTCCTTTCATCATTTAAATCTCCTTTCATGATTAAATCCCAACCCAAAAGATTTTATCCCCCCTCCCCCCTCTTTCCTCATGTTCAATGTAATGGGGAAGAGAGGACAAATTAAGAACCTAAAGTTTGCTTCCATTATTTCAATAGTTTTCTGAGTTTCTTGGGGATCAATGTCACTATCCCTCTCCACATCATTTACAAAAACAGTGATCTCATTATTGCCTATTCTATCGCCACCGGAGTTATATGTCCCCTTTCTCCTCTCTTTTAAAAGGGAGAACACTTCTAAAATACCATGAGATAAGCAAAGTTGCATTGGCTTATATCATGCCTGGAGAGCACGACACTAAGAAGAGGTTGGGGTTGGGGAGAGAGGAGAGAGGTTTTTATGGACTTTCTGAATGTAAGTATTTGAGTGGCTTTCCTGCCATACAGTAGTACATATGTATAGGTAAAACAAAAAAGTAGCATACCAAATGGGCAATAGCCCGGGTACAAACCTACCTTTCCAAAAGGGGTCGAGGATTCAAGCCTCAATGGAGGCATGGGTGTGTGAGTTTGCTTAACCTTCCAAAAAAAAAAACGTAGCGCATTGGTGTTTTGAGATCTATCTTATATGAGTTGCGGCTATGAGCTTAAATCAGATGAAAAGCAAACAATGTTGCCAAATTCCACAAAATATTTGCTTGAAAATACAAAGTTTTGGTCTCTAATTAGATACAATTTGACATATACTACTTTTCTACGGTATTTGTCCTTGGTGTTGTGACAATTGACTATGTATATAAAACTAAGGCCATCAGCTACAAGTTCAAAACTCCTTTTATTCTTTCTTTCAACATGTCTCTGGAAAGGGGTAGAACTTAGTTTTAAAATAATTACAACATGACCCGCAAATAAAGTGTTGTATTTGAGTTTTGAAGTAAGGCAGCAGGGCAATGGAAAATTTCTTCAAAACCTTATTTTATGGTAGGTGTACTTGTAGGTACTTAATTTTAAGAAAAATCTAATATCACCCATATAAATAAAATATTAAGTTTTAAAGAATGGGCACTTCTAACAATTTCTAATCCCCTAACTTCTGTGAATACGAATCAACTATGTTACATGGACTCGGGTACATATGTCGGGTATGGGTATATATATCCATGAGTCAGATGTGTCAAATCCCCTTCCCCTAACTGAAGGAAATATGGACACTGCTAAACATTCATTTTATTTACTATTTTTATTTTATTTTGTAGAGTAAAATCAGTGTTGTTAAAGGCGCGCCTAGGCTCGAGGCTCAGGTTTAGCGCCTGTTGTCATCCCAGGCTCACTGATGTTTACTAGGCACGCGCCTCAATTGCGCCTCGTCCTGTTTGTGAGGTGTGCCTAGGCGTGCCTCACTGATATTTGTTTAAAAAAATACGATTGTTCTATTTCTTAAGCCAAAAAGGGTACTTTTGGCCACTTAATAAAAAATAAAAAAATAAAAAGCTGAATCATATGATATAAGGAACTTTTGTTCAAAAGAATTAAAAAATAAGAAAGCCCAAGAGTCAAAGTATTAACCGAACAACGATAGAATGAGATTGTGAGACAAAAATGAAGCCCTAATTGCAGAGATGAACGACGAAGCCACGTCAGTTCTTTCTTTTCTTTTCTTCTCTCTTATCCTCTAGATCTCTCCTCTCTTATTATCTTTGTTTACATCTCTCTCTTCGTCTAGTTCTCTCATCTGTCTGTTTTTTTTTTTTGCTCTGTTTTTTCTTTCTTTCTTTTTTTCTTCTTAACAAATTTCTTTTTTTTTTAAAACATATTTATTTCTTTTTGTGCTTTGTTTTGCCATTCAAAAAACACATTTTGCTTTGCCTTTCAAGAAAACAAATTTGTGTTCTGTTTTATGGTTGTTGGATACTTGTATAGTTAATGGATTTACTTTTTTATATTTAACAGTAATTTTTAGAATATGACTTATGAGATATGAATGTTATTATGGTAGTTAAATTTTCAATTGTGCGCCTCACTTCACTCAGGCGCGTGCCTCGCCGTGTGCCTCGCGCCTAGGCTCCAAAGGACCTCTAGCGCCTTAGTTGCACCTTGGGCCTTTAATAACTATGAGTAAAATAATGTCTTTTATGTAACATAGTGTTTAATATGTGCATTTTACTCATTTTGAAGTAATAATATAATAAAGTTGAATTATTGTATATGCTTTTTAGGTACATATCGAACCGAAAGTGTCAGACACATATTCATACCATGTCCAAGTAATGTGTGTCCCACATGAGTACTTCACTACTTTCCGAGAGTCCATGTAACAAAGCTTCTCAATACTCGGATGATCATCAATTTGGTTAATTTAAATTTTACATCCAAACAAAACCCAATCTGTTTCCTCAATCAGTGTAATTTTACAGAAGATAATTTCATGGTTTCCAATTAATAAAGCATGAACATTTGGAGAAAAACAGAATATAAGCTCTATAGTTGCACTATCAATTGATTAATCAAGAACAGAACTAAAATGCAAGAAATTAAATTGGTGAATTTAGAACATGTAAATGTATACCTCTTCGTACTTCTGGGTAAGAGAGAGTCGCTCGTCCTCGGACATGTCCGGCCTCAAAACAGCCATGGTTTCATACTGACGGAGACCCGGTGGGCATTGGGGCTCCTCCTTGTCCTCAACGGCCGAAATGACCGACCCGGACGGGCTGGGCGGGTCGTCCTCTCCTCCAAATCCTCCTTCGAAGAATGAACCCGAGAAACCTAGGGTTTGAGCTCTGATACAGAAGCCTCCTCTTTTGGTCCTTCGATTGGGTAAAGCGGTGGCTCTTTGGGGACAAGCTGCTCTGAAGCTACTACCGAAAGAGATCAACGATGCGGAGTGAGAGTTGGCGAGGGAAGATAGAGAAGAGGATGAAGAAGAGGAGGTGAGTGTGGAGGCGACTGAAAAAGACGCCATTGTTGAGCTCTTTCTTTCCCTAAGATTATACTCTACCAGACCAGAGGGCTCTGCTTCGGAAAGTGATCGTTGATGGAGGAAAGGGTAAAGTGGATAAGGGGGATGCGCACTACGCACCGGGCGTAGGTTTTGCTTATTTTGCATAACGCCCACTTAAATGTTAAGAAATACTTTAAAACGTGAAACGTTGGAATTTTGCTCAATTCCCTACAAATTTCTTGTGCGTTATAAAAGGTTTTTTTAATATAATCTTAAATTCTGTTTGGTTTGTAATTATAAAAATAATTTTTTTTATTTTAAAAAAATTAAAATTTTAAAAATTGTATAAAAATTCTACTTGATTTAATTTTTTAAAATTGTTTTACGAAAAGTCAATTATAAAAAGGCCAATCAAAATTATTTTTATAGCTATTTAAAAATAGTTTTCTTTCTTATTTCTTGATAATTGTTTTGTAATTACAAATCAAGCAGACATTGATTCATCCCACTCACATATGGTTAAAAACGCAAAGATGACAATGATGAATTTTTTTCAAGATATATATAACCACCACAAATGATTAAAGGCTTGTTTGATAACTGTTTTTGTTTCTTATGTATGACTTTAGGATAAATATAAACAATGTTTATGTTATGGTTTTATTTTGGCAACTGATAGTGGCCTTCCACCAATGTACTTAGGAGTTTTCTTTTTTCTTTTTCTTTTTTTTTGGTTTTTCCTTATATAAAATTACACAAAAGTTCTTACACACAATGCCTTGTTTTTACAATTTTTAATACTACAATTGCCCTATCTTCTCCACCTCACCTTTTCTCACACTTCTCATCATACTAGATATGGCGTCTGATGACAACTCCATAGGTTTCTTTCTATAAAAATCTATCCATCTTCTCTCACAAAAAAAAAAAAATAGCTTTACCGTTGAGAACCATCTCCTCCAACAAAGCATGAATCAGTTTTTGATAGCACCACCTTCGGCAACCGATCTATGATACTTGGACTCCTGGGGAAGAGAGTCGTGGAAGCTCGTGAAATTGATTCGGGTCTTTCAAAGGGTTAAAAAAATTAGGGATAGTTTGGTTTTTGATGGATGAGAGTCCAAGAGAAGATGAATTTTACAAGCGTTTAAGGGTAATTATGACATTAAAAAATATAAAAATGATTGTAAGGACTTTTGTATAATTTCATTTTAAAAGAAAATGAGAGTGGAGCATCTGAAGACTGCATTAATGACGTACTTGACAAGGCTCATTCTGAAAAAGTGGGCCGGTCGCTCTCACGAGTCAAGCCCAAAGAAAGTGGACAATAATGGTTAGTCCAACCCAATCAGAGCCTTTCTCCTTGAAGAACAAGGATGCAGCACAATGGGAACCAATTAGTATGAAAGTGAGAAAAACTTGTATAGCAAGAAAAGAGTCCATGAAGTCCTTAAGGTTTTTACCTGAGGGCAAAGTCCCCAACACACAATTCTCCTTAGAACAATTTTTCTTCTCTCTTTCTTTGTATTTTCTATATTAAATTTGTTTGACTGTATTAATTTTAGAGATTTCGTTGACTATTCTTGGTCGACAAATTTTTGCATTTACACTTTTTTTTGTTGGACAAGAATTTGCCCATCAAGGAGTTACCAAAACAATCTCCAAAGACCCTTGGAAGGGAGCAACCGAGGGAAGAATTTCTATTTTTCTTCCTGTTTACTAACGTTTTCACTTTCTTACTTTTACTTTCTTAAAGATTTTACTTTTTTTTCGATGAAATAAAAAGTAAAATGATGTTTAATAAGCAAATTTTATTTTTAATATTTTAAAAATAAAAAATAGAAAGTAAGTTTAATAATTTTGATTTTAATTTTACTTTCCTGTTATCTTCCCCTCTCTCTCTCTCTCTCTCTCTCTCTCTCTCTCTCATTGTTATCTTCCTCCCTCTAAATTTTTTTTTTATCTGGGTTTGATGTAATAGCTTCTCACTACTTAGCTGGTATTCTATCCAACAACTATAATTTAGAGTCTCCTTTGTTTTTATCTTTTTTCATCCGATAAGAATCTGATTGCTTAGAATAGTTTCAATAAATCCCAAGTCATCCAAGTTGTTCCAACAGCTATGACAAGTAGGGCAAAGAAATTGTGAGTTTCGGAATTCTGTAACACCGAAAAGAAGAGAAGGACTGGACAACGACCCTTCATCCCCTTTGCTTCACGATAAGCAGCATCTAACTTTCTGTTTCCAAGTGTTGTGCTAGCCCAAATGTTGTATTTAATACTTTTTGTGAACTTTGTCTTCGCTGAAAGACTTGATGATGAAAAACTTTGCATTCTCGTAATTTATGACAAAATCTGGATGATTGTACAGATCAAAATGAACCCCACAGCTAGACGCACCATCTCTGTTAAAAACGGATAATGAGATCTCTTCAGAAGTGTTCTTGCCATTTGGCTTTGAAGCCCTAGGTCTGCGATTATGATCACTAGAGATACCATGTGAATTAGTAGAAAGAAATCGAAGCCCTATGAGTACAGAGTATGTGTGTGTGTGTGTAAGAGGAGGAGTGAGTTTCATACATGGCATAGGGATGGGTATATTGTTGATGGGTTTAGAGAGGAGAGAGATAGTTGTGGGCAGTGGGCAGTGGGAGGAGGTAGCAGGAGGCCGCGGCGGGGAGGAGGCGGATGGGCAATGGGTGGATTTTGGGATTTTTTATTTATTAATTTATTTGGATAAATAGTGCTACAGTAATACTACTACAGTAAGGAAAGTAGAGAAATCACATAAAGCATCATTTTCTCACTTTCCCTTTCCTTCATTAAATTTGAAAGTGAAAAAGCAAAAATATATTATTAAACGTAATTTATATTTCACATTTTTAGAAATTGATAATAAAAAACAGAAAGTAAAAGCGTTAGTAAATAGACCCATAGAATTCATTTAATTGGAATTGTTTTTAATATGTTAGATTGAAAAATAATTGAAATGAGACTATATACCCCCCCAAAAAAAAAAAAAAAAAAGGATTGAAAATGAAGTATGCACAACTTTAAATGAAAATATCTTTTATGTTAAAGTTCTTTTATTTGTTACAATAATAGGAGTATATTTTTTTCAATCTTATTACTACTTTTTAAGGCTGACCCTCCCAAATCATTTTTAGCTGCGTTGTAACTCCTCTTGTATTGAAAGTTATGGCTGACTAATTTTTTTTTACAGTTCTAGATTAGGCTTTTGACAGTGTAACTACTCCAGATAGTTCAACACTACCTGTTCAACATCAAACAATGTAACTGCTCAGATTAAACTGTAAACTAACATGAAACTTTGAAAAAATGGAAGTGAATCAGCAAAAAGACCAACAGGTGACGTCATAAATAAAATTTGGTTCTTATACAAACCATAGATACAAAAGAACTGAACACCTATATTGATTGTTGACATGCGTATCTCTACATATAATTGCACTAAGAATTAGACTAACAAAATTACATTTTCCCTATCACAACATACACATGCATCTGCCCTTAGTTGGTCTTGATCAGTCTTTATAAACCAGCTGCTCTTCCTAATCTCTCTCTTAAAATCTTCACTCCCATGTACCTGTACAAGTCCAAATCATCAGATCAAACCATTTGTGCTTACTACTCTCTCCCCTAAATTCACAGAGGCAGAACAGAAAAATAAGAACTTGGACAATCTTTTATAAGATAAATCTATACATTGTATTAAGATCTTACCTGCTCATCATCATGACAGTGGCTTGTGGAATATTAATGCCTGGCGAATTGCTAATCTCGAGCCATCAATGACACAGAGCCCATGGACGCCGAGTACCTTGTATTCCGGGCTCACCACCTTGCCCACTAGGCACCCATCATGGTAGTGACAAATTGTGATCACAGCGTCTTTGCAAAACCGCTCAAATGAGACTGCCATTAGTGTTCTTTGGTATAAGGTTAACATTAGCCATCACACTCATGTTGAGCAGCTTGTCCACAGATTGTCTATCAAACAGTGTGAAGTTTGTGAAGTGTTTGGAGCTCACAAGCTTCTCCACGATATGAATACCTTCAATACATCACTGTAGATCATGGGATGGCTGAAGTAGTTGAAGGTGACAGGGGGGTTGTCGTTGACATTGGTGTTGTTCAGGCTGAGGTGGCCTGTTGAAATGGGGTAGACAATCTTTTCTAGAATGAAGCCTCCCATGAATGCTTCATGGGGAAGGTCTCTCTTGTTTTTGCAGAGGCTTGAATGGCTTCTTGCGTTTTCTGTCTTGGAGGTATAGTAGAGACTAGAGAGCTGCTCAATCTGGTTCATTACACACAACATGCAGTTACTTGCACGTGTGTGCATGTATAGCTCATTAAGTATTCTATTAGTTACACATAATATGCAGTTACATACATACATAGTTCCATATAGTCTATCAATTTTTATGTCAAAAGTGATTTTTAGATATGCATGTAGACTTGCTTTAAAGAAATTAAACAGAGATGATAGGGGGAATTACGAGAAAATTTATATCAATTGCCATGTGCAACCATTCTAGTTGTGTTCCTTAGAACTCATTCTTCTCCGAAGCTTCTTTCAAACACATATTTTTGGTAAACTCGTAAGATTAGAGACATTAGCCTTGTAGTACTCAGCCTATGCATTAATTCCTTTCGAATCCATGGACATCCCTTGATGGTAACAAGAACTACCATCAAAGTACTTTCCCAACCCAAATTTTAACAAATTAGCCAAGACACCCGAATTTGTAGTTCAAATAGTTCCAATAAGTGGATCATTAGTTAGCTACTAACCTCAGCCGATACAAAACCATGACGGTGCTGAATGCTATCCGAAGACTGCTCAAATCCATTGCTAGCTTCAATGTACACACCCATCTTGGTAATCCCTACGGTTTGTATCAATGTCTGCTCCACAGATCGATTGGCAGGAATAAAAACAGTGTTCAAGGGATATCAGACATGCCTTTCCCAACAGACATGTTCGTCTGCTTGAGGTCAGCCTTTGGTCCAACGCCACTGAGTGGCAGCAACTGAGGGCTTCCAATTGCTCCACACGACACTATTATCTCACTGCTCGGCCTCTTTGCAAGAAATTATCAATGTTGTTTACTATTTTCATCCATGAAGATCACTCCAACGGCCATTGGTTTCTTCCCTGTATTGGACATTATAAACACATTACTGCCTGTTAACAAGTACGGTCACACTGTATAGTTAGTTGTCAATCTTTCTGGTTCATTTACGACTTTTGGGACTAAAATGCTATATTGAATCTGAGTAACTAGCAAACCTGTTACATTGAATATGATCTTTTGTCCTGTAGCATGAATCAAAACATGACGGTTCTCAGAAATTACGGAAGCAAGAAGCTCTGCATCTGTGTGATGGCGACCAAACTTGTCAAAAATGGTTCCACCAACCTTGGGTCCACTTATGTGATCATAGGTGAATCCATTGAAGGGTAAGATCCCAACTTCCAAAAGACTGTTCCTTACCGCTCTCTGCAATGGCCCAAGCTTTGGCCGGTAAACAATTTGCTTCTCAATCCATGGGTGCGACTCATTCACCAATTTAGCATCCCAACCTGCAATTCTGACATAAAAGTATTTAGTCACAGAATTCTATTAGGAGGTGTTTGGTGGTTGAGAAAATGAAGGAAAAGGAAAACAAAAATACGCATTCTTATGTTTCTTCTTGTTGATTTGGTTGGAGAATTAAGTGAAGCACTTGCTAACCCCAAATAAAGTTGTTGTATTACCCTCCATTGATTGAGTGAGATTCAAACTGGAAGTTCTTTTCCTTTTCCTACATTATAACCAATTAGAAGGTATGGTTACTAATGTTCACAATTTAATTTAAGGTAGATGAGATTATCTTAATACACTTTATTATTATTTGAGATTCACAAGTCCAAGCCAGTGACAGAACAATATTTTTATAGCTTCACATTATTTCTCGATTCTATAAAATTTGGAGATCTCTCTTTACCACTCCATATAAAATTGGCAAGCATACTGGAAATGGAATCACAGAGAGAAGTTGGAATCCTAAAACACTGAAGTGAGTAAGTTAATTAGAAGATTGACATCATTGATTCACAAATGATATGTTTATTTCAGCTCGATTTATGGGTATTGTCTTCAGTTACTTGAATGGTTTGACCTAGCATTGTGTTTTGTTGCTTTGGCTGCTGAACGTGATCAAACTTCCTAAATTTTGCTTAATTAGAAGATTATTTTGCATATATGTTTCTGGCTCTAAGTGAAGATAACACTTCAAACCAGCAATCATCCTAACTGAATTATAGAAGGTATAGTCTTCTATAGAGAGACAATTCACAGAGACAATATTTTACATTTTTTATTTTTGCAATGTACTAATTTCTATCTTCAATTTTCTAACATAACTTCGAGTAATCTTAGTGGTAATTCAGTTCATAACTTAGTTTAGTCTTAATCTTAATTAATGTGCCTTGCATATACTGGTACGGTATCCTACTTCATGTACAACTGCCACAGAACTATTCGCAGCACTCCTTGGCAATGAGTGTGAATTAATTATTCTACTCTCATCTCATAAAAAATGATGTCTAATGTGTCTTGTTTATTCACTTAACCAAAAAAAAATGTGTCTTGTTTATTCATATTCAACATTATTTATTTGTTTAACTTTAATTGTTCAGAAACAATCTCTTAGTTTCATTTAATTAGCTAGTCATCATAGAATTTGTATTTACCTGTCTACTAGAATTTTGCACTTAGTGCAGAAGTATGGCCATTTGTTGCTGTAAGTTTTGAATTTTCTGAGTGTACTATACCTGCATAGTAGTCGTGGTCTGTTCAACACCTTCCAACTGTGCACATACAACACACACTTCTTCCTTGTATTCGATGGCCCTCCTCATCAGCCCCACTTTAGTGGGAAGTGGCCCACAAACGACATTTGGTGTAGGTCCCAAACCACACATTCGAACATGACCCCTTCTCTCCTCTCCCATCACTTGAGCATACAAATCATTTGAGGAAGGGCCAACAATAGAGCTTGAGGAAGCTGCTGGTTGACTTGCTTCAAGTTCTTTCATAAATGCCTGCAAATACAAAAAGTTGCATTCAACAATAAAAATAACCACTTTGGAACTGTTACGCCCAAAAACTAATTTTGAGAAATTTCAGAATTAATTTAGTGAAAAATTTCAGAATCAGTTAAGCTTAGACCTATATAACCTTAGTATGCAGAACATCACCAAAGTTCACTATTAATATCTTGTTTCTCGCATAGTGAAATCTTTCGCCAGATCTCCATTGTGGACATAGACATACCTCGTTTTGAACCACACAAAATATTTTTGTTCTTGTATGGTGCTTGTATTTGTCGTGTGTCGTGGTTGTTGCTTGGTTCATGGTTGTTTGTCGTAAAAGTAGTCATATCACCTTTTATTTTCAATAGAATCATAAAAAACCAATCACTTCTTAGTAGAAAAGTAAAATGTTTTTATTATGTTTACCAACCGCTAATATTCTCTCATCAATTGTAGGGGAGGGTAATCTTCAAAAAGAATAAGACAAAAACCAACAAGAAGAAAAAAGTAAGTATGGCTCAGATTGATGTTGAAGAAAATACCTCAAAATGGAATGTAATCATCTTCGATTACCAAAACTTTTCTTATGTCTTCAACAAAAGGGGTTGGAGCTTTTAACATCACCATGGAATGACAATCTGATGCTCAAATCTTTGGCCTGTTATCCCCTGTAGTACAAAGCAATCTAATCTTTCAAATAAAAAGCATAACTTTGTGACAATAGACTCTTAACTCTGTCAACAATAATTTTATGCAACATGTGGAAATTATCTGAAACTCCAAGATGTAAAGACATTTAGACAATGCCTTAACAAGATGTAAAATTCACTTGTTATTCTTATAAAATTCGTGACAGCAGTTTAATGTTCACAAAAATTTGCCCAACAGGCTGTTGAAAAGTGATTCATATTACTGAACAAAGTGTCAGATTTATTTCATACTATTTTTATTTTGTTTCTCTTTTGCTAGATGAACAGATAGATAAATAGCAATAAATCTTTGTGTAGGAGGACGTCATGAACAAAATATTTAAAAGGCTAAACATGATATGAAAATGAAGAGGCTGTGAAAGAATAAGAAGAAGTATTACCTGAGTCCGAAAAAGTCGTGAATTAATTAATGGTACTTGTTCTGCTCCAAAGAAGAGTTCATTAGCCAACACAAGCACTCATAAATGTAAAATTGTGGACCATTATTCTGCAATGGAGAAAAAGCATTTTGGTTAAGTCGAAAATTGTGGACCTAATGAAGGTGGTTATGAAAGATTAAAATGAGAGGCATGAGAGAGTGTGTGTGAAGAACATGAGCTTACCTGACAGAAGAATATAGAATAGTAGGGGGTTCAGTCTAGCTGAGCAAATTCAAATTTATTCGAACGCAGGGGATATGGGCAATCTTGGGCCAGTAGTCACCTGAGCACTGTTTTTCAAGAAGCAGTGATATCTAAAACTTGAAGCGTGGCAGGCAGGCCTTCCTTTGGTAAGGATCGAAGCTTAGGGCAATTGTAGATTTCGAGACGTTGAAGAGAGGTGAAATTTTGGAGGCCACCGCCCTTGCCCTTGCCCTTGGATGATGATGATGATGGTGATATGGATTTCAGATTCGGGCAGTCTTGGATGCATAGAGATTGAAGAGAGGTGAGATTTTGGAGGCCCTTTAATGATATGGATTTCAGATTCGGCATATCGATGATGCGTAAATCGGTTAGAGTTGTAGGAAATAGACGGTACTCATCATTGTCACGATCACGAGGAAAGGAGACCAGCTCTGGATATCCACCTCGAATTTCAAATTGTTTAAGAGAGGTGAGTCTGTGCATACTCCACTCTGACAAGGGCTGCAGTTTGCCGCAACTCCAAATAGTAAGATGAATAAGGTTGGGGGGCAAATTCCCGTTCCCATTGCCTTGATTAAAAGGCTCCCCAAGACATGGACAATCATATATTTCTATGAATTCAAGTGATGCGAGGCTTTGAATCTGATCAATTGGCAACCACCTCAGATTATTGCAGCCCTTGATCCAAAGCGATCTCAAGTTGGGGGTGGACAAGCAGCAGCCTCTTTCCGGAAAGGCCTCGAGACTTGGACATCCTATTATTACAAGGGATTCAAGGTTTTGAAGAATCTGGTTGGTTGTAGGCAAGGATCTCAGATTCACGCAATTCCAGACTTCAAGTTCTCTGAGGTTGGGTAAGCCTCTTTCTGAGAACGACAAGGACTCCACAACATCGCAATCAGATATATTTAGATCACGGAGACTAGCAAAATTTTTATTATTTACGCAACCCCAACTAACATTCCAACTTTTGGCCATTTCTCGATCCTTAATGTTTCAAGGGATGACATAATATTATTATTTATGTTAAAGTCCTCCAAATCCACGCAATCAACAATACTAAGATCCTTGAGAGTGGTGGGTAACATATTTTCAGTGGGCCAGGAACTCAATGATAAACATCTCGCGATCTTCAACTCTTTAAGACCAGATATGCCTTCAGGCACGGACTTCAATGCATTGCAATCGCTTATCTCAAGTCTTCTAAGCATGTGCGGGACACGGACTTCAATGCATTGCAATCGCTTATCTCAAGTCTTCTAAGCATGTGCGGGACACCTGCCTTCGGAAAGCACACAAGTTTCGAACACCAATTAATCTCTAAAGATGTGAGAGACGTGAGCTTATTCAGCTCATTTGGCATCTTCTCAAAATTCACACAATTTCTTATATACAATTCCTGAAGATCAATGCAAGGCAGCCCTCCATCATCTAATTCTTCTCCAAAGGAAACAAGTTGGGGGCACGACTCAACTCTCAGTCTCTGTAAACGGACAAGATTATTTTTCTGTGCAACTCCGCCGCCATTTTGCCACAAAGCCATCAGCTGGTTGCAATTTTCAAACACTAGACTTTCAAGTGCTACCAAAGACTGCACCAATGCTTCCTCCAGCTGAGACAACCCTCTATTATCCATAACTTCCAAACTAGTTAGAGAGGTCACACCAACTATACTTTTTAGCACCACCTCCTCACACTCTTCCAAGTATAATTTTTGAAGAGAGGGAAGCCTTAGAGGGGAAACCGTAATCAAATTGGGACAACCATGCAAACTGAACTCACGGAGGCAAGGGAATTGACTTCGAGATTCTTCAACACCAATGGAAATAGAAAAAGACCATTATTTCCATGTTGGCATGTCCTCAAATTTTAGCGTCACCGGTGAGGGAAAAGGAAGTCCATCCCCCAAATTTTGCACTTCATGCATGCCTTTAATGTATAACTCTCTGAGCTTCGGTAGTTGCTGGAGTGGTGGTAAAGATCTACATTTCCTACAGCCTATAAGACTGAAGTTCACCATTTCATAAAAGGATGGATTGCCTATCTAACTCGGGAATTCCCTGCCCCCGAAGAACTTAATTTTGAGCCTTTTCAAGTTTACATGAGGTTGCAGCATGTCAAGCACATCCAATTCAAGGTCTTCATCTCGAGAATCATTGAACCCACTACACCATGCCAACTCTACTTCATTAAGGCACTCCTTGTTCCTTAAATTTGTGTCATTTGCATCTCGAACATCTGTTATGTTTTGCAAGTCTTCAATAGAAATACTCTCCCGTAAAAGGCTCAGATTCCCCAACTCTTTCAGACTTGCTCCATTATTTTTGCTGCCCACAACAAACTTTGGTAGTGTTTGCAAATTCTCCAGCCTACCAATACCTGAGGACATCTCTCGTAATTCCACAGTATCAACAATGTCAATATGGCGTAGATTAATTAAATTCTCAGTGTTTGGAGGAAACATACAAAGATTTTCACAACTACGCAATAACAATGTTTGTAAATTGTAGAGGGCACTAACTGATTCAGGTAATGATCGAATTGAAGTCTTATTTAAATTAAGATACCTGAGATGCTTCATATGGCCAATTGAGTCTGATAACTCAGTTATGGAATAACCAGACAATGATAGCACCCTTAAGCATTGCAAATTTGGCAATAAATCAAATAAAACCCTTTTTGCTAAGTAACATTCTGCCGAAGCATATGTCTGAACTGGTAACGTTAATAGAGTTTGCAGATGTTGAACTTTGCAAAGAGGCCTAAACTTTTGAAAGACTTCAAATTTTTTACGAACAAATGACAAGTGTCGAGCTCGTTCAAATTGCTCATTACCCTCTAACTTATCCAACCGAATGAATATTTTTCCAGCAACATGTATAGCTAGATCATGTAGAAGGTCATGCATTACAAACAATGATTTACTACCACCTGATTGTTGGAAAAATGACCTTAATAATAGATCATCAAAGCACTTATTGCCAAAATCCTCCATTCGATCCTTTTCTTTTGATAGCTGCGAAAGACCTACCCCCATCCACAATAGAACTAGCTCAGCTTTGTCAAATTTATAGTCTTTTGGAAATGTTGCACAGTAGGCAAAGCATTGCTTCAAATGAGATGGGATATGATGATAGCTCAATTGAAGGACTGGAAGAATACCACTTTGTTCGGGTAAATTCCATATCTTGCTATTCAATATGTCTACCCACTCATTTTGGCGTTTAGTCCGCAAGAGGCCTGCAAGTGTTTTTACAGCCAAGGGCAAGCCTTTACATTTATTCACTATTTCCATACCAATACCTTTCAGAGTTGGATCTGCATCAAAGTTTTCTTTCCCAAGTGCATGATGGGCAAATAAAGATAGGCATTCATCTTCTGACAGGCCTTTTAGATGGCAAGCCGACCGAGACAGAGTCATGGTTGATGCAACGGTTATTGGAAATAGTGGCCTAGTTACACACACAACACTATACTATTTGGAAGAGAATAGAAATGGAGGAAAATACTTTTTATTTCACTTTATAGAAAATGAGTACAATGCATGGGTTTATATAGGCTTCAAAACATAAATGTAAATGAAACTTAAAACCCCACTAACATATCATTTAGTAGGCAAAACTCCCACTAACCCACTAACATGACCATTTAGTAGGCAAAACTCCCACTAACCCACTAACATAACCATTTACTAGTTGTAACTCTCATGCCCCCCACTAACTCCAATAAAAAACTCACATAAATATAAAACACCAAATAAAATAAAGTTTAATTTCTAACACCCCCTCTTAAACTTGATTTTTTTTCAACTCCAAGCAAACTCCTAAACTTGTGAAAATCTGCAAACTTGAGGGGCTTGGTGAAAATATCCGCAACTTGATCTTGTGACTTGATGAACTTGAGCTCCACCTTCTTCTTAGTTATACATTCTCTAATGAAATGAAATCTTGTATCAATATGCTTGCTTAGTTCATGAAACACCGGATTCTTGGCCAAAGCAATTGCTGATTTGTTGTCCACAAAAATCTCCGTTGACTCTTCTTGTAGCATGTGTAATTCTTTCAACAAATTCCTCAACCAAATTACTTGACAAACACATGAAGTGGCTGCAACATATTCTGCTTCACAAGTTGAGAGGGTGACAATGGGTTGCTTCTTTGAACACCATGTAAAAGCAGTATTTCCCATGAAAAAACAATAGCCCGAAGTACTTTTTCTATCATCCAATTCCGGCCCAATCGCTATCACAATAACCCACAAGCTTGAAATCATTAGAAAATGAATAGAATAACCCAAAATCAAGGGTACCTTTGATGTAACGAAGAATCCTCTTAGCCGCCTTGAAATGAGTTATGGTGGGTCTTTCCATAAACCGACTAACAAGCTCAACCGCAAATAATATGTCCGGCCTTGTGCATGTTAAGTATCTCAAGCTTCCAACAAGACTTTTGAAAAATGTTGGATCCACCGTCTCTCCATCTTCATCTCTTGACAATTTAATTCCAACTTCCATGGGCGTGTTCACCAATTTACAATCTTCCATCTTGAATTTCTTAAGAATTTTCTTAGCATAGCCTTCTTGGTGAATGAAAATTCCATCCTTCATTTGCTTGACCTCAATGCCAAGATAATAAGCCATGATGCCAATATCTGTCATCTCGAACTCTCGAGCCATAACCTTCTTGAAATCTTCAAACATTTTTGGATTGTTACCTGTGAAGATTAAATCATCCACATACAAGCAAACAAAAAATACATCTCCATTCTCACTTACTTTGGAGTAAAGAGCATGTTCATATGGGCACTTTGAAAAATTATTGTCTTGAAAATATTTGTCAATTCGCTTATTCCACGCTCTTGGTGCTTGCTTCAAGCCATATAAAGCCTTCTTCAATTTCAAGACTCTGTTTTCTTGCCCCTTTACAACATAGCCCATGGGTTGTTGAACATACACCTCTTCTTCAAGAAACCCATTCAAGAAAGCCGATTTCACATCCACTTGGTGGATTCTCCAATTGTTCTGGGCTGCCAAAGAAATTAACAATCTAATTGTTTCCAAACGAGCTACGGGTGCAAATACCTCATCATAGTCAATTCCGGGCTTTTGGTTATACCCCTTGGCGACCAATCTTGCTTTATATTTTTCAACTTCACCATTTGCATTATGCTTTGCTTTATACACCCACTTAACACCAATTGCCTTTTGCTCTTTTGGAAGTGTAGCAAGCTCCCATGTGTCATTCTTCTCTATGGATTTAATTTCTTCATCCATAGCATTTCTCCATTTTTTGTCTTGTGCCGCCTCTTCAAATCCTACGGGTTCACAATCCCCAAAGAGACAAAAAAGTGTTAGATCACCTAACCTTTCCGTTACCTCATCTGTTTCGTCATATATGTCACGAAGACTCCTCATGCGAAGTGGTGGTGTGTCACTTGAACTTGATGATGATGGAGTTGATTGATCTTGAATTGATGGCGGTGGAGGTGATGTTGGTGGAGAAATGGGCTGCTCCATGCCTTCATTTTCTTACTCCTCATCAGAAATTGAAAAAATATTATAATCTTCATTTGGAGTGTTCCAATCCCATGTGGCTCCCTCTTCGAATTCAACATCTCTACTAATGACAATCTTCCCATTGCTTGGATTGTACAACTTGTAGCCTTTGGAATTTGCATCATAGCCAATGAACACCATTTTTTCACTTTTGTTGTCTAACTTGGTCCTCCTTTCATCCGGCACGTGCACATAGGCAATGCTCCCAAAAACCCGCAAATGAGAGACACTTGGCTTTCTTCCGCTCCATGTTTCTTGTGGTGTTTTGTTTTGCACACTTCTAGTAGGACACCGATTGGACAAGTACACTGCACAATCAACCGCTTCAGCCCAAAATTCTTTAGGCATTTCCTTACTTTTCAACATGCTTCGAGCCATATTGAGAATGGTTCTGTTCGTCCTTTCTGCAACTCCATTTTGTTGGGGCGATCTCGGAACCGTTAAAGGATGGTGAATTCCATTTTCTTCACAAAATTTTTTGAAATTATTTGATGTGAATTCACCACCTCTATCAGATCGAAGAGCCTTTACATCATAGCCACTTTGTTTTTCAACAAGTGCTCTAAATTTTTTAAAAATTTCACACACCTCCGATTTTTGTTTAAGAAAATACACCCATGTTTTTCGGCTAAAATCATCAATGAATAATAAAAAATAATTATTCTTACCAAATGATGATAGAGAAATTGGACCACAAACATCCGAATGGATAAGTTGTAGTGGCGCCGTAGCTCTTGTGGTAGCTTCTTTAGGAAAACTTTTCCTTGATTGCTTTCCAACGAGACATCCTTCACATAATTGATTTGGATTGCCAATGAAAGGCAATCCCTTCACCATCTTCTTTTTGGCCAACAATTCTAATCCTCCAAAATTCAAGTGCCCAAGTCTCAAGTGCCAAAGCCAAGTTAAATCATTAACACAAGCCTTCAAACATTTAGCCTCGTCGGCTTGAATATTTAGCAAAAACATCCGGTTCTTTATCATTGGAACCTTGGCAATCAAATTACCCAATGGGTCTCTTATCGAAAGACTACAATCCTTCATGGAAATATTGTAGCCTTTTTCTAAGAGTTGTCCCAAACTCAAAATATTGTTCTTCATATTAGGCACATAATAAACATTAAAGATGAATTGATGATGCCTATTCCTCAAACGAATCAATATTTTACCTTTCCCTCTTACCGGAATTTGTGATAAGTCTCCAAATGTTACCTTGCCATTTATTGATTCATCAATATCAACGAACTTCTCTTTGCTACCACACATATGGTTGCTAGCACCGGTGTCAAGATACCACACATCTTCTTGATCACTCCTTTCACATTTGTATGCTAACAACAAAGTAGGCTCCACTTCTTTATCAACATAATTTGCCTTTTCTTCAACATCGTTAGCAACATTTCTACATTCCGAAGCATAATGACCATACTTTTGACAATTATAACATTGAATTTGAGACTTATCATACCTCCTTCCATATGACCTTGAGTAATTTCCTCTACCACGACCTCTTATTTGTTGTGAGTCATGGATTTTTTCTTCATTGTTGGTTGTGTGTTGACCGCTTCTTTCTCCTCTTCCACGGCCTCTTCCTCTTCCTCGGCCACGTGCATTTCCACGTCCTCGGCCCCTTTGATTTCCTCCATGTTTTTCGTCTCTTTCGTTCAACGAAAACTTTGTTTGTAGCACTTGCTCCAATGCTTCTTGTTTCTTTACCACCTTTTCTTCATGAGCTTGCAACGAACCCATGAGTTGATCAACAGTCATGGAATCCAAATCATTTGACTCTTCAATGGCTACAACAATGTAGTTGAATTTGGAATCCAACGACCGAAGGATCTTTTCAACGACCCTTGTATCAGTCATGGTTGTTTCGCCATATCTCCTTAGTTGATTTACAATAGCCAGGACCCTCGAAAAATAATCTGAAATTGATTCAGATTCCTTCATATGCAATGCTTCAAATTCACCCCGTAACGTTTGGAGGCGAACCTTCTTCACTTTATCAACTCCTTGGAAGGAATTTTGAAGAATCTCCCATAGTTGCTTTGCATTTTCTGCACTAGCAACTCTTTGTAGCATTCCATCATCCAAACATTGATGGATGGTCATCACCGCCTTTTGGTCCTTCTTTCTCATGGCTTGTAAAACATCTTTTTCGGCTTGAGACAAAGTTGCCTCATCTTCTGGCTCATCATAACCTTTGGAAACAACTTCCCACACATCTTGTGCTCCCAAAATTGCCTTCATACGGATACACCAATTTTCATAGTTATCTTTGGTGAATCGAGGCATTTGAAATGGAACCGAATTGTTTGCCATTTCTTCTCTCTCTCACAAACTAGCTCTGATACCACTTTATTGGAAATAGTGGCCTAGTTACACACACAACACTATACTATTTGGAAGAGAATAGAAATGGAGGAAAATACTTTTTATTTCACTTTATAGAAAATGAGTACAATGCATGGATTTATATAGGCTTCAAAACATAAATGTAAATGAAACTTAAAACCCCACTAACATATCATTTAGTAGGCAAAACTTCCACTAACCCACTAACATGACCATTTAGTAGGCAAAACTCCCACTAACCCACTAACATGACCATTTACTAGTTGTAACTCTCATGCCCCCTACTAACTCCAATAAAAAAACTCACATAAATATAAAACACCAAATAAAATAAAGTTTAATTTCTAACAACGGTTTCATTGCGGGTTGTGACAATAATTTTGCTCCCAGGTGCCCCGACCTCGAGAGGAAGTCTCGGGAGCTTCCAGTCATCATACTTGTCGTTCCAAACATCATCCAAAACAAGAAGAAACTTCTTCCCTGACAAGTTCTCCTTCAGTTTCTGTTGAAGCATATTCAGGTACATGGAATCGTGAGTTCCTGAAGTGACTTCCTGAAGAATTGCCTAGGGACATGGAATCGTGAGTTCCTGAAGTGACTTCCTGAAAAATTGCCTTTGTCACTCTATGAACATTATGCATGAAAATCATCAGAAACACAAACCCATGCCTTGAGATCAAAATGACCCTCTACACGTTCATGATTATAGAGGAGCTGAGCAAGAGTTGTCTTACCAATACCTCCCATGCCCACAATGGGAATGACGGAGACATTGTCAGCACTAACTTCATCCCTCAACAACTCCTCAACTATAGCCTCTCGATCTTGTTCTCTGCCATAAACTTCAGATTTGTAGACCAAAGAAGACGTTTCACGACCTTCTCTTATTGTCTTGGACCCAATCCCTTCAGCATTCTCTTTCAAATTGAGGAAATTCTTTCGTATTTTAATATCTTCAAATCTTTTAGTGATGTCCTTTACCTTAGACCTCATATCTTTTTTGGACCTCATATTATAATAAAGCTTGACAGGGTTGAGTTGTCGTACCTTACTAGTTGTACTGGTGCTAGCATGAGATTGTGGCTTGATCAGCTCTCGTCCCAAAGTTTGAGTGGCGAAGTCGTCCAGCAAATCATCCAAATCGTAAGCCAAGTCGGTGAGATCGTCCATCCACAATTTGACAGCAGCATCATTTTCCAATTGCTTGTCCTCTGCGTTAGCCAGAACAGCACGAATAGCTGGCACCATTTTCTCCAGCTTCTTCAACTGAGCATCCATTCCCTCACGACGGGCATAGTTTGACACCGCCGGAGAGACCAACTTGTCAAGCAGCGCCTGAATGATCGGCCCCAGAAAGATCCCCGCAACCTCCATCGATCAGAACGAAAAGAGATAAATATGCTTGCACCTAATCAGATTCAAACCAAGAGGAAGAGCAAGAGCAAGAGGGGGTTGGTTGACTGGAAGCTTCAATAGTCTTTGGACATTACTTTACCAAAGGATAGAGTTGCTGCTGGAATGCACTACCGTGGGAGAAAATAATTCATGGCACTTGAAAAAGTAGTTGATAAAAAAATCAGACAACCAAAGCATCATTCAATTTGGAATCTTTTATCTCAATCTATCCTATCAAATTAAACAAAACAAAAACCTTTGATATATGCCAATTTAACTTTACTGTATATGCCCTGCTATGATGATTTTTGTTTAAAGCGTTATTTTCTCTGACAAAAGCATGTTTGTGTGCGCTTGTTATCTTTTATTACAATAACTTACTTTAGTGTTTTTTGTTATTATTATTACCTTCACTTGCATCCCTTTACTTTAAAATCTAAAATTACATTTAAGATTTATGATTTTGTATATTTTGCTTTTAATAAATCACAATCTCTTGTTTAAATGAGTTTATTAATTGGGTGTGCAACAGATAGTTAACATGATAATTATTTGAAAGATAAAAAATATATTTATATACTTCCTCTATTTCATATTATCTAACATTTTATTAAATTGTTAATTGTGATAAATAAGTGATGAGGTGATTACAGTATTTCTTTTAAATCAATGTTGGAAAGAAATTTAATTCAAATTTTAACTCTTAACTTAATTACATTCTCTAAAGCGTTTCACAGTCACATCGGTTACATAAAACAATAAAAAACGGAGAAATAATTCATAAAGTAAAAGGAAAAAGTATTATTTATTTATTATTATTATTATACTTTGGTAAACAAGACAACAAAGAGAAAGAGACCCAAGGGTTCAAACACTGCTAATTGGCGGTGTGGTTTTACTCGGATTGATTCATAATGTTCACTATATTATCATCAGTAGCTTAAAATCAAGACATTTGTAGTTTAGCGGTATTGTCTCACATTTTATAAAAAAAAATTGAGAGTTTAACTTAAAGCGTATTTAAATTTGGATGGCCTAGGCAATGCGATTTTAGTCGGATTGATCCATAATCAACTTTAAATTAATAATTTTGTAGTTTAGTGGTATTTTCTTAAGTCACACAATTCTTCTCAACAGGTGTCGCTCTCACGCTCCAAGCGCGCTCCCACTCTTACGCTCTGCGCGCGCTCTAACTCAAATTCTCACTATTTATGACATAATTTTGCCGCTTTTCCGCTCCTGCTTTCGAATTCGTTTTTGCTTCCCCTCTATGTGACTTAAGTATTTTTTCACATTTTAAAATAAAAAGTTAGTGTTTAACTTTAAGCGCATTTAAATTTGAATAGTCTACTCTTGCACTAATAACTAATTTAATTTGAATTGAGTTTTTCAATACAAACTCAAAATTCCCTCAAACCAAATTACATCCCAACCAATTAAATAAATGAATGTCTAACTAAGATAAATAATTTAATTTGTTGGAGAATAAGTGAATTGTACATATTTTTTAGATCATGAGCCAGGCATGGAATAACGAACAATTTTTTTAATTTATATTACTTTCTTCTTAAAATTAAAATTTTCTATCTCGGGTATTATTTGCAGACATGCATCTTTACATTTGAGTGCAAAAAAAAAAAACACACACACAATGCATGTCTCAAAGATCTGAATATATCACAATTAACTTTTTATTAAGTTGTTAATTGTGATAAATAAGAGATAAAGTGGTTACAGTATATATTTTAAAGCAACGGTTTGAAAGAAATTTAATTCAAATTTTAACTCTAAATTAATTACAATCTTTAAAGTCATGCACTGTCACATCGATTACATAAAATTATGGAAAAGTAGCTACTACACTATTCAGAGTGGAAGTGCCGTGGTGGGTAAAACTGATTGAATTCAGCTTTTGGAAGAAAGAAAAAGAAAAAAAGGAGGGGTCTACTATAAAGTGTGGAAATAATTCATAAAGTAAAAGTAGGAGAAAATATTTATTATTATTATTCTTTTTATTATTATTATTATTATTATAATATTATATACTCCGTATATATTTTGGCCGACAAGACAATAAAGAGAAAGAGACCCAAGGGATCAATAGCTTAGTGGTATTTTTCACATTTTAAAAGTAAATATTTGAGGGTTTGAGTTCCATAAGAACAAAAAAATGAGTATGAATATGTTTGTTGTCAATAAAAAATAAAAAAGAATCAAAAGAACTCAAATTAAGGCACATTTAAATTTGAATGGTCTACTCATGCATGCAAAGTGTTAGACTCGGTTTCCTTCATAAATTTGGAACTTGTTCTTCATTTATTTGCTTTGTTTCAAGATTTGTATACCTTTTCTGGCTCAGCTTTATATCTCTGTAATGCCATCTTGGCTTTAGGATTTTGTGCCTTTGAAATACCAAAAAAACAAAAAAAAAAAAAATTGAATCAAGTTTTTCGGTACAAACTTGAGATTCCCTCTAACCAAACTGCATCCCAACTAATTAAATAAAGGAAAAAGTGCAAAAAAACCCCTGTATTATTGGGATTTTGTAACTAACCCTCTTGAACTACATAAAACCCAATAAAACTAACAAATTGTTGCATTTAACCCCCTTGAACTAACAATAGGGTGCCGAAAAAGCAAAAAGACAACATTACCCTCAATTAACCATAGCGACCTGTATTCGGCCCTCATTTTTCTGCAGAGAGGGAGAGAGCGAGCTGAGCAAGGAATGACAGTGAGATGAAACAGCAGGGGCTCGGATCGGCTGTGAGCAAAGATGGCATCACACGCCGATGTTCAAGGATCGGCGACGACGAACGGCGATGTTCGAGGGTTAATGGAATGGTTTCGTCGGAGTACTAGTGAGAGAGAGAGAGGGAAGGTATGGGTGACGGAGAGCCGGTGGCAGTGGACCTCAAAGTCTGTGCTGCGGCACACAGGGATGAGAAGAAGCTTGACGACGGCGACGGCAAGGGCGAACCAGATGAGGTCGGCGGTAGGTTATGATTTGGGGTAGCTTTTTTGCGCCTTTCATGGTTTGATCGGTGGGTACAAAGAAGAAAATTTGTGTAGTTGAGGAAGGAACAAGTTTAGGGATTGAGATTCAACTAAAAAACAAGTTTAGGGATTGAGATGGGGAGAAAGAGAAGCGAAAAAGGATAAAGAAGAAAAAAAACAGCAACTCCAATTCGGCAGTGAAGAACTCGGCTCGACGATGGAGTAGCGGCAGCGGCGAGCTTGGAGATAGAGAGCGAAGAAGGCTGTGAGAATGTTGATGGTGCCAGCGAGACAGATCCGGCGGCGGTAGATCCAGCGGAGACGACTGGTTCGGTTATGGCTGTGATGAGCTCTGCGAAGAGGGAGATGATTGGGTCTTGGAGATCCAGCGAGACAGATCCGGGTCTTGGATTTACAGATCGGACCGGGTTGAGAACTTGGAAGTGAGCCGAGAAGCGATCGCCAAATGATTCATGATGTCATGGGTAGAGCAGCGGCAGATAAGATCGATGGAGCAGAAGGTAGAGCAGCAGTGATTCGGCAAAGGGTAGAGCAGCGGCAGGGGGGTTTCTCGGATGGAGATGAGAGGTCCGGCAAAGGGTAAAACAACGACAGGAGTATCAGTCTCTGTATTTGTCATGATGAATTTCATTTTCCCAGCTAGGGTGGATTGGTTGGGCAGAATGGTGGCTCTGGAGGTTTTGGGTGGAGAGCGATGATGGTTTTGGTTGAAGGTGGTGGTGGACCGGTGGTTATGGGTTTGATGTGTTATTTGGTTACGGATTTGGAATTAGGTGATAGCTGGGGGTGGTTATGGGTTTGCAGAGATGGGTGGCGGTGGTGTTGAGGCGACAGGGTTGAGGTGGAGGAGGGGATGTCGCAGATGGTGGAAGGGCATTATTGTCCAAAATATTCAATTTGTCTATCGCGTGAGAATCACGCGCTCATTTTTGGACGGCCGGTGACCGGATGGAGTGATATGCAACAAATTTGTATAGTTCAGAAGGTTTTATGCAATTTTGATAGTTTAGGGAGTTAGTTGCAAGTTTCGCAATAGTACAGGGGGGTTTTTTGCATTTTTCTATTAAATAAATGAACGTCTAACTAAGATAAAACCTAATGCATGATACATAAAAACCTTGCAAACCTAAACAACCTCCTTTTGTTAATTTTCTTAGTGTACAGGTTAATTGCACTAACATCCCTTGAGGTTTAGGTCAATGTCACTTAGATGACGGTCAAAGTGTTGTCTAATCGCTCCCTCAAGTTTGAAAAGTTTGCAAACACATCCTTTTAAACTATTGTAGTATAAAAAATGACCAATTTACCATTTAACTTGTTAACAAGTATTCGTGAAATGACCCATTTAACCTTCCTAACCAATATCTCGCTCTCTCTACTTACAAACCCACCACCACCACTACCACAATCTCCATCGCATAACCACAACACACCAACACCACCAACACCACCACCACCACCACCACAGTTGGCAACACCATTATCACCATAACCAGTAACAACCACCACCACCACCACAATCCCTAACACACCGGCGCCATGGTGTGATAACAACTGAGTGTAAGTGATCGATTGCAACCAATGGGTGGTTTTGGTTACCTCTGCATCAAAAGCTCAAGGTCACCAACTGATCAGATGACGATTTGGGGATTTATAAGCCTTAAATCGATGACCCAAATTGGAAATCGAGGCCCAAATTGAACCCAATGCAACTACCATCATCGATTCAGAACCTAATCGAAACCCAACACCATCACCATCCGTCGAAATTTGTGGTGAATTTTTTAATCGGAATCTCTTTAGAACTCCTCCATTCCGTCTCCAATGCACTCTCTCAGAAGCCTGTCACAATCCCACCCTTTCAGAAGACAAGCTCAAAACCCCAAACGATGTCGATTCAGTCTCAAGGACGTTAATGTTTTGATTAAAGAAAAGGTTGACCTCCATGACAACGACGTTCTGAGTTCTTCGTCGTCATCCTCGCAGAGGGTATCAGCACGAGCCAAGGCTCGTAATTTGATAACTCAGTTGCAAATTGGGACGACTGAATTGAAGAACTTGACAGATCGGGGCAATAAGAGGTTGGCAATCATGCTGGAGTTGTCTGGGCAAGATGATGGGAATGTTTGCCAATTCGGAATGTTGCCGATTCAGAGTGGGAGGTGAAGAGCTTCACAGCGATGGATACATACAATACTCGCCAATGGTTTGGTTCGGTCTAATGTTGCGATTGTGGAAACGCGTGGTGATAGCTGCCGATGCAAAACTAGTTGTCCGTTTGGATTTGTTCTGGACAAAAATTTATTATGGATATGGATATCGCCGGAGGTTGAGGTGTAAGCTTTGGTTAGGTAGCGCTGGCATTGGTGTGGTGGTGTTGTTGAAGGTCTGATTCTATGTTAAGAGAGAGAGAGAGATGGCAGGCTGGTGAGGGGTATTTCTGTCATTTAACATGACCAATAGTTAGTGAATATAATTGAATTAAATAATAAGGGACAAATATGACTTTTGAAACCTAAAGGGGTGTCATTGTCCAAAAAATCGTTGATCGTCATCTGAACGGCATTGACCTAAACATGAGAGGATGTCAGTACAATTAATCCATTTTCGTATTGAAGTAAGTGACCTTTACTGTAGAAGATAAATCACATCCACATACGATAAATATAGAGTGAGCTAGGCATACTAAATCATTGGTATTACCCAACCAATTAAAATCCACAAACCATGAAAGTTCTCCTATCCTAGGTCACACAACGGGCGTGTATGCGAGGACGCACAAAAAGGGCAAAATCTAAGTCACATATAGTGGAGTCAGGAGCAAGAGCTGTGAAGAATGCGCTAAACGTGCGAGCGACACTTGTTTAAAAGAAGTATGTGACTTAAGTCCTACGACTCCTACCTACAAAGAAAAACTGCCCTCAAAAACCTAAAATGGGGGATTTGTTGGGCATATCAACGACAACACAACTATCCTAATCTCACCATGGAAATGGGAAACAAGGGTGTGAGTCCCAAGTTGAAGTGGCACGGGAAATGGCTAGCTGCCTCACGTCTCAGTTCACTAAGTAGACAGGTTCTCTAAAGACAGGTTCCTTAGAGAATAAAAACTGCTGCTGCTACATAATTGAGCTCAAAAGTATATATATTCTGGTCAGATACTAGAATAATAGATTAATTCTCCTGTTAAAAGAATATAATCATGTATAGAAAAACATCCAAAGATGCAAAACATCAAAAATCCAGACTCAATTGTCGCGGAACAGTAGAGATGATGGATACAAATAAATTTAAAAAAAAAAAAACTTGGAAGCAATAGGACCGATAATAAAGTCCCTAAAACACCAAAAAGATCAATATATTTGAAAAAAAAAAAAAAAAAACTAATTATGCAGTAACACCACTACTAGTTCACATCCATAGGAGGCAGAAGATGCAAAGCCCAGAACACAAAATTTTAAAACAGGATATCATATGAAAAAAGACCTAAAGCCCTTGCTCAATAAGGTAATCACCCATCCTTTCAACAACCATGTTACACTGTCCAGGAGTCATGGGCTCGTCATAGATACCGATGATAAGAGCTTGGCCAGTCTTCTTAATAGTGATGCCACCAGCGCCCTGCGGGATAAATAATGCAACATGATCACAAATGCAACTACTTTGTTTTAATGTCCTCTACTCATAGAACTGTACCTTAAGAATTCAAATTGTAGGATGGTTATAAATTACTTTCTTACTGATCAAACAATTGGATCAACGGTCATTCAAATTCAGAATTTAAATGCAAGCATATGGTAGCAGTAAAAAGTCCCGCAAGCAAACAACCAAACAGAAAGAGTTCACTTTCGAAATCATATGAAATGAAATTGGATTCTGAACTCCCAATTCTCAATAGTATTGTTCAGAAGAGTGCCTTTCTTACTACCTCAACATGCTCTATCAATTTAGATTAGATGTGGAATGAGAAGTGTACTTTGGAAACGGGTAAAGGGTTTAATTTTCACTACTTAATCCTGCCATCAAACATGGACCGTCTAGTATCATAAGAGCACAAACAAGATTAGCCAGGGCATATTTATGTGCCTGATGATGATGGATAGCATGGTACAGAAAGAAATCTCATCAATAAGGGCACTTTAATTATATAATAAAGAAAGGGTGTAGAAAAAGCAACAAAAACCCTCAAGTGATCATGTAGTGGCAAATAGCAAGTGATGCTTTCAAGTCCTATTAGAGGTGGGTCTCTTATGTAAGCGCATGGATGCTTACCATCACAGCATACCAGGTAACAGGGTTACTATCATGCGCTAAACAATAATGCAAACTGACCTTTACTAGATAAAGATAATAACGAATGAAATACAAGTCCACTGGAATAGGCTCCACATTAAGTTTTAAAAGCCAAAAGGTGAAGTGGTTATTGAAGTATACAACTGAGGCTTTGCTTCTATACCGCATCTTTGAAAAATCAGTAGGCGTAAAATTTAAATACAACGAATGAAATACAGATCTACTGGAAAACGCTCCACATTAAGTTTTAAAAGTCAAAAGTTGAATTGATTATTGAAGTATACAAGTGTGGCTTGGCTTCTGTAGTGCATCTTTGAAAATTCAGTAGACGATTAAAAATGTTTAAAATTCAAATACAATGAATTAAATACTCTTATAGTCTTATCGATAGTTATCTATCGGAACAATACTGTTACCGATATCAGTTACCGATATCTGAAGGTGGTGGTGGGAAACAAAACAAACTATTTACATAGATGGTATCAATTAGAAAAGAGGAAAGAGAGTGATGTTCTCAATTAAGATTTCATAATAGAAACAACATTATTAAGTATCAAAAATTCAACGAAAGACTACAAGTAGAGAATCTTGTTCAATTTATGACCTAGGAAAATTAAAAAGAAAAAAGGAAGAGGAGATTTAGAACAGGGCTCTCATTTTATGTGGTGATCGCATGAAGATCACAGTAGGATTATAGCATGGCACTGATAAATAGGTAATGGATTTCAGAATTGAAGCATAACACGCGCTTAATCCAAGTGGAACAAAAGGGAACTAAGAAACAAAGTAATATCAGAACCATCAATCATGTTGTCTGTCTTGCACAAGAAATGATGGGAAAAGAGGCTTCAATGAGACAGATTAAATACCTTCTTCCCACGGATCACAGCGCCAGCCTCTCCTTGGATTACCATGTACTTTGTGCCGCCAAGGTGTAGCCCGGTAGGAGCAAGAAAGCCAGGTTCATCAAAATCTTTATTGATGCCAGTCATCTCTTCAGGCTTGAACTGCAAAATTATATTAATCAACATCAACATGAGGGGAAATCAAATCGGAAAATTTACAGAGGTGTATGGCAAAAGAAAGTGCATAACACAGTATGTAGCATGAAAATGGAACAGCTTTATATAATATTTTAAAATCTTAATAATCTTAAGCAATATTAAGATATTATAAGGCTGCAACAAACAAGAGAGAGAGAAAAAAAAATCATATGTTATATTTTTCAAGGTATCAAACAAAATTGCACATTGCCATCAGTACTAATACTAACAACCAAAGGAACATCAAAGTTGATGCTTGCAAAGGGTATGAAAATGATGCTATAATCTCTTTATTTTCCAATCTAAAGTTAGGGTTTTGATCAATTCTAATAAAATGGATTAAATAATCTAAGCTCAACAATCTATCAAAGTAAATATTCTAAAATATATATATGTTGCATTTGGGAGCACCGAATCGGCACCTTGGGATTTGGAATTGACAAAAATTTAGTTCAAAGTTAAACTGAATTTCCTCCAATTCTAAATCCAAAGTCCTGATTGGTAACATAGCAATAGTGAAAGAAGTGAATCATCAGTCATACAATTGGAAAAAAAAGAGCAAGATTCGATCCATAAATTGAAAAACAGAACAAATAGATCTAGTCCGAGATCTCCAATAGGTCAGGCTGATTGAGAGCATACATACTGGGAATGGAGGAAGAAAAAAAAAAACTTTTTTCAGAACTTATTGAACCACAGTGAACCGAAATTGCACTCTCTTAATACAATTTAATTAAGAGATAACACAACAGAGAAATTCCAAGATAAAAAATATAAAATAAAAAAAACCCACATGCGCATTTATAAATATATGTATATATATACACACGTGTGTGCGGTAATGATAAATCAACAGATTGAAGGAGAATCAGTTGAACATACAGATCTAATCAAACTCCAGGACATTGATCACGAGAGTCAACATTTTGTATAAATACAGATCCAAAGAAGAGCAATTATAACCAAAGAGCATGAAATTGAAGAGATACCACAAATGATAAGATAAATTACATAACTAATTGATTAAATATCACCACCAAAATTATTTAACAGACCCATATAAGTAACATACAAACATATAAAATAAGATATATGCAGAGAGAGAAAGAGAACCTTAGGGAAAGAAGCGCTCTGAGCCCAGACGCTACCGTCGAGGCCGATGATAGCAGACGAGGTGAGATGGTTACCGTCGATGTCGCACATCAGGTGATCGTCGACGTAGGTTTGCCACGACATTTTCAAACCCGGTTTCTCTCTCTACTATTTCTCCCTCTATGTGTATTGTGTATGTGTGTGTTTGTATCCCCTGCTGCACGATTTTTCTCTGTGTGGCATTCTGTGTATCGAAGACGACATAAATAATTGTCTGGAAAGTTCTGAAATGTGGGAGAAGTGATTAGGTGTGCCCACTTTTTGGAAAAAAAGAACTGGGTGGGGTCCTAGTGATACATCAGCCGATCATTTTACGTGATTGAATCATTGCCGTTCACATGCGATTTCTCTTTTGGTTTGCCGCAAATTGCCAATCTAGATCTTGCCACCTCAGCATTGGATTCAATGGTGGGTCCACACGTATTTACATAAAATTATTATGGAGTGGATCACCAAACATAGGCCGACCCGGGTTACGGTTTTGCTAACCTAGACCCGATCTTGCCGACCTTTGATTGTTCAACAAAACTCGTTTCAGTAATAATTTCTTTTCGAGGGCACGTGATCTCTTGGATTTTTTTTTTATCTCTTATTTTTTATATCTAATTTTCTATAATATGTATACATTTTTTTGGAAATATGTAAAAAATGTCCTTCTAAGTATAAAAATACCCCCTAAAATTTATTCTTCCCTTGTATACAATATATGTCTCCTTAAATTTTTTTTTTCTTCTTAAATTGTAATTTATTATTTACTTTATCCCAAAAATATAAATATCTCTATATATATCCACCTATGTCTCTCTCACTATATATATTATACTCCATAAACACTAATTCATATATATATATATATATATATATATATTATAAATATATATTTAGTGTACAGTATGGCTCCATCCCTGGAAAAGCCCTGCACTGCATTATAGTAGGAGTGTGTTTGGAGCACCTCTAATTTTTAAGAAAAATAATTCACTTTTGAATAAATTTAAGATAAATTTTATTAAATTTTCTTTTTTAATATAGTTCAATAATTAACAATTATAATGACAAAAAATTTGTTAAATTTAAAATTATCATAAAAAATATTTACTAATATATTAATTATTAATTATTAATTAGTGATATTGTAGTAGTTTAATACACAAATATGATAAGTAGAGTCTGTGTTATATATATTGCACGGTTGCACCATTTTTGGGTGTCTCGCGTGGAATACTGATACAAATATGGATGGGTAACAATGTATCAAACGGAAGCAATAAGATATGCAGATCCAAATAGACATGGAACCGGGGGAGCCAATTAAGGCGCAGATGGGGCAGGTCCCCGGCCCGCCCCACCCACTGCATATAACTGCGTATTTTGATTATTTATATGGGTTCGGTGTAAAAAAAAATCCTAGGAGTGATGTTATTTAATCCTGACAAATACAAAACTGGTACTTTACTAACTTTATGTGGCAGTGAAAAAATAGATAATTTAAAATTAAAATATAAAAAGTCTTTCAAAACAAAAACTATCCAAAATAAGTTAACAAAACTAACTCTCTTTACTTACCCAAATGAAACTACATAAAAATAAATAAATAAAGTGATGGAAAGAATAATGTATGAGTTGGAATTTTAGGATAATAACATTATAGAAAAAATCTTGTTTGAGTTGAAATTTTAGAATAGCCACGTTAGACCATCTCCAACCGTTTTTTTTTTTTTTTTTTTTTTTTTTTGTGTAAATTTAATGTGTCATAGATTTGTACAAAATATTTAGATTATTTATTTTTAGAATATCTCCAACCACGGTGTATATATATATATTTTTTGTAAATCTCATCTGTCATAATAGACTTACACAAAAAAATTGCATTATTTATTTTTAGTTCCAGCAGTTATTTTATACCTTTTGTGTCAATATCATATCTGGACCCCATATAATTTTTACAAACCTGACTCGTTAGTGGAATGAGAAAGAGGGAGGAAAAAGGAAATATGTTGATGTGGTTACGTAAAAAAGTTATGTAAAATACACAATAATTTTACACCTTGGTAATGTAGTAATATATTTTAACAGACTGCTGGAGATAAAAAAAAAAAAATTGCAAATCATACATGGCAGTGTATATTTTACACGGTAGGGATGCTTTCGTTAATGGAATGAGAAAGATGGAGGAGAAAGGAAATATGCTGATGTGGCAGTGTAAAAAAAGTTATATAAAATACATAACAATTTTATACATTGGTGACTTAATAGCGTATCTTGATAAACTTTTGGAGATAAAAATAAAAAAATAAAAAATAAAAATATATTTTACACAAAAGAGTATTTTAACCGAACCGTTGTATATAATTTGTTGTGTAAATATGATGTGTCGTGATAGATTTACAAAAAAAAATAAAAAATAAAAAATAAATAAATAAATAAAATTGGATTATTTATTTTTAGCTTTAGTAGTTGTTTTACACCTTTTGTGTAAAAATATATCCCCCAATAACATCCCATTATATGTTATACAACGACTCACATAATTTTTACAAACCTACTTAATACAGGGTTGATTCTTTAATGGAATGAAAAAAAAAGTGAGGAGAACGGAAATATGTTGATGTAACTGTGTAAAAAGGTTGCTTAAAATACACAACAATTTTACACATTGATGATGTGGTAATGTATCTTAACAGACTGCTAGAGAAAAATAAATAAATAAATAATAAAATTACACATCATACGTGACAATGTATATTTTACACAAAAGAATATTTTAACAGACTGTTAGAGATGCTTTAGATTTTTATAAGAGTCAATTTTTATTGGGGTTTTATAGGAGTCAATTAAATCATTTTTCGTATACAAGATGTGCAAAAAAATCCTCTATTATTCTAATTTATGCAAATAAAGATATTATTGTCAATTTTGCTATTGAAATTTCTAAAATAGCTCCATAAAAGAAAAAAATAATAATAAATAAATAAATAAACAAAATGTTATCTTCCCTCTATTTCTCTCCCCGGAGGAATCAATCGGCAAACAAAGCTGGACGTCGACGATAAGATAGACCGATGGTGAAGCATGGACTCAACAGGACTGAATTGGCCAACGGCATGTGTAATGTTCCTGAATTTTGTCATTTTCCAGTTTCTGGAATTTTCTGATTTTCGCGAGTATTTTCGTCTTTTTCTCATTTTGCGTGTCGAACATCGTGGGGTGTGCCGGCTGTGTCCGAGAGTTGGGTGGGACATTTCCTTGAGTTCAGGACTCTTGGAAATGCACCGGTTGTCATTTCGACTTTTCTCCGTTTTTCGGGCCAGATAGTCTCGGGTGAGACCCGCTACAGGAATCGTTGTGTACGGGGATTTTATTTTGAGTTCATTGCATACCATACATGATTATTTTATGCATATTTAATGTGGTTGTGTGCCATTTTGTATAGTTATATGCATATATGTGTGTGTGGTGGGAAAATAGAAGGAAAAAAGAAAAGTCAAAAAGAAAATTACGTGGTGGGACATACCACTATTGATCTATGTGACCAAGAGGCCACATTTTGGCCTCCACTTTCTCTCTCCCCGTAAAACTCTCTTTCCCTCATTTTCTTTTTCTTTTTCTTTTCCCATTTTGCTTCAAGTTACAAACCTTGATTTCTCCCTCATCCCTTAGAAATTTTGGGTGCCGTTTGCAGCAAATCGAAGAGTTCAGCGAGATCTTCAAGTTGATGTAAGCAATTGCAACTTTTGTGCATCCTAGGAATTTCAAAAATTAGGGCTTTAATTTGGAGTTTTGGGGGTTTTCATCTCTATTGAAGTAGGGGTGTTCTAATGCATGATTTCTTGTACTTTTGTGAGTTTTATAACTTGAATTGATGTCGAGTATGTTCAATTAGTATAAATTCTTGTAAAAATTGCTTAAATGATAGGTATGGGATATATGTTACTAATTGTTAGTTGTTTTTATAGTATTTAAACATGCTTACATGAAGTTGAATCCATGTCTTATATGTTTGTTATGAAAAGTTGATGTTAAATGAGAACTTTAGTTATGTAGTTTAGAAATTTGCTTTATATAGCATGTGTAAGAGTTTTATGGTGGAATTGATGAATTGAAGTATGAAACATTCCATGCATTCATTGGTATAGAAAAAGGGTAAAAATGTCTTTAAAACAAGTGAAAATTGTTTTGGGAAAAGTTTTTTAAAAGTGTTTGCGAAAACCCGAATGGCTAGGAGGCGCCTAGTGTTCCGTGGTGTTAGTGTAGTCTAGAGGGAAATATGGTTGAGCTAACCAAGCCGGATGTGACGCCTTGGAGGTGCATTGGGTCGGATTACACTAACAGTTTGAAAGTTGAAACGGAAATGTTTCGGATATGGGGATTGATATTTGCATGACATTGCACTTCATTAGAATATATGGTGTGTATGTGTTTGGGTGATAATTGTTATATACTTGTCGCTGTAGTTGTTGCCATGTACCCCTATGTTATGATCCCGTTTTCTTTTACCTATTCCTTACATGGATTCACGGGATAATAAGAAGTGTGTTTTAGACACTTCCTACTAAGCGTTTAACTTACCCCATTATTTTAACATTTTCAGGTTTGGGAAAAGAAGTGGCGGGCGACAATCCACTACAGTCTTAGTTTGGATTAGAAGAATGTATCTTTTTGCTACTTTTTGTATTAGGCCTCATTTTGTAAAGTGTTGACCCAAATGTATCATTTTGCAGCATGTGAAATATTTAGATTCATTTTGTATATGGCCATTGGAGAAATGTAATTATGTTTAATTACACTAAATCATTTAGTGTATTTTATGTAACGTGTTGTAAATTATGTTAACATTGTTGTTGTTGTTATTGTATTAGATGTTGAAATGTATTTAAATATGTACGTGGGTATAGTGTAATGACCCGGATTTTTCGAATAAATTTTTCCCGTTGTCTTTTCCCTTCTGAGTTTGGTTTCTTGTCGATTAGTGTCGTCTCGAGTGCTCAGGAGTGATTTCCGAGACTCTTTTCTTTAGATTGACAACTTCCTTTGAGGACCGAGTCATTTCCACATTTTTTGTTTTTCGACACTATTCACTTTTCGTCATTTTCCCTATTCCATCTTTTTCCCTATTTCGTCTTTTCCTCGTTTAGCACTTTGTTTGCATAACCACACTTCTTGTGTTCGGAGTTGGTTTCTGACTTCACGTATCTTCA